GCCGAATCTTTGATCAGCAGAGGCCAAATGAAAAGGCCTCTGCTGATGGATTCTCAGGAGCCCTGAGGCTCCCTTTCGTAATGATTGGGAGCCTTGGGCTCCTGCGTAAAAGAGTATGCTCCGCTCCATTAAATTTTTTAAAAAAAGTGCCGTGTGGCAAATTTGTCCTGTTCCCTGACAGGTGTTTTTTGAACTGTTTTAACTGGAGTTTGTAAAAGTGTTCGAATTGGTGCTTTAGTTGCTGAAGGTCTCTCTAGACAACAATCGGGTTAATGTGCTCCATGTATTTTATAAGTTTTAATATATTCTGGTAAACCCTCCTCTTCACAAGTATTTGGATTATCATATGTCATGCCAAAACAGTTATAATATTCATTGATTAAAAACAAAGTTGAATACATTCGGTGAACGTCAAAAGTCAAAAGAAAAAAGGTGTCATTTTTAATTTCGGATGTCCAACCCATATAACAAAGACAGTCCATTTAATGAAGAACAAAGCGAAATGATGCAACAACCTAAAAAGAAGACATGTTGGGAGAAAGCTAAAATTGTTTCTTTAGTATTGATTGCATCAAATGTTATGATTCAATTCATAACATTGCTTTTGCTTTTCATTAAGTTAAACAACGGAATATGCTTTAAACATTATTAATAATAAAAAAGATTAAAATTCTACTTGATTTTTATTTACATGACACATTCTAAATAAATGAAGCTGGTGGTCAAAATCTTCATATGTCATCGTTTTCTCTGGATAATAGCACCACCATTCAAAGAGAAAATCAAATAAATCTTTGTCTATTTTAATCATGTCATTATTATCTTCATATATCTCGTCAGCAAGCAAATATACTTCATATGCTTCCCATTTTTTCATTAAATTCATTTGTAAAACATTATAAAGACGACCAAAATCCCACATTAATTTAAATTTAATTTTATTTATTTTAATTTTTTTACTTTTAAATAAAGATGTCAGAATTTCTTTCCATTTCAAAATTAATTGAACATCTTCAACCATTATTAAATGAAAAATCTAAACAAATTGATGTTTATTTTGAAGAATTTATGAAAAATAAATTTGAAAGATTCAATGTAATACCTTTATTATTTGTTATTGATGGTAAGAAAATATCAAATCTAGAAGTTTGGAAACTTTGTCCACATTTACATTATATCACAAATATTAAACCGATAACAACACAAAAAGGATTGCATGTTATGAAAATTAAAGTTCAAAAATCTAATCAAGGTGAATATTCCAAAGTCAAAAATATTATTATTATTGTTGTTGTTATGCTGACGGCATTACTAACTGCTTCATCAATAACAGATGAATTGAAAGGACATCTTTATTGTAAGACATGGGATATATTTTATGAAACAATTAATTCTAGTTGGAATTTCTTTCCTGCTTATGTTAATTTCATGGACCTTATGAAGATTGAAAACAGAACATATCCAGAGTGTGACAGGTCATTGGAAATCATTTGGAAAACACTTTGGAATGAATTCAATGAGCTTCATAAATACGATGAAGAAGAATATTTCGAGAAACAAGTATTACATTCATATTTTATTATTATTAAAAAAAATAAATATGTTTAAATTTAAATTGAATTAGTTTTCATTTTTCTTCTTTTCCATCTCTTTATTAATTTGAGATTCAATTATCTTAAGCTTTGGGAGTATTAAAGCCGGATCAACTGCATTCATATTGATCACATCTTGAATGAACAAGATCAATTTGGAACATTCGTCTTTGAAGAACTGCTGCTGGTACAATGCATCATGTTTTGCTTGTTCCAAATCTTTCAATGTGATTTGCTCTTTGGAGTGGGGGACAAACTCGCCCATTGTCACTTTTTCATTAACATTAAACTTGTAATTTTCATTATTTTTAATTAACCTTATTTCTTTCCCAATTCCTGATTTATTTTATTCACTTACTATTAAAAGTCACATTTTAATAAAATATAATAATTTATTTATAGCATTTTTTACTATACTGTAATAAAAAATTAATTATAATAAATTAAATGTTTATTAAATCAAATGTTTTCTTTGCAATAATATTTTTAATGTTGAGTAAACAATGTTGGGATCAAGTGTATCATTTTTCAGACCTTTCTGAACAGCTTCAAGCATACTGATGCATTCGACTTTTTTAAATTGTGTCATTTCTTCGAAATCTCTTGTGACTTTTTTGATAACTTTAACACTTCTCTCTGAATCCAGACCTTTAATTTGCAACTTAATCAGGAATGAAGGAACAACACTGGAATATAACTCGATGACAAGTTCATCGAGTCGAAGATTTGGTTGTACACCACTTGTATGTGCCGGATACCATTGTGTCAAATTTTTTCTGAAATTAACTTTAAAAGTACTAAGTAAGATCATGAGATATAGCAATATATGTTTAAACCAACTTATATTTTGGTTGTACACCACTTGTATGTGCCGGATACCATTGTGTCAAATTTTTTCTGAAATTAACTTTAAAAGTACTAAGTAAGATCATGAGATATAGCAATATATGTTTAAACCAACTTATATTTTGGTTGTACACCACTTGTATGTGCCGGATACCATTGTGTCAAATTTTTTCTGAAATTAACTTTAAAAGTACTAAGTAAGATCATTTATTTTTGCATAATATAATGCCAATATGGTTTCTTTTGATTTTATTTCATTTATAAGCAAATCAGATTTACCCAAAAACTCCACTCCATAAGCGTTCATTTGCTAAATTAAAAAGTGACAATGGGCTAGTCTGTCCCTTTCTCAAGTTGGAACATTCGTCTTTGAAGAACTGCTGCTGGTACAATGCATCATGTTTTGCTTGTTCCAAATCTTTCAATGTGATTTGCTCTTTGTTGTTTGCGACTTTAATGCGGATCAAGTATGTGGGAATGATCTTAGTAAGAAGCATGAGAGCGAAATCATCGATACGCAAGAACTTTTTTCCTAAGAAATATGTGTGTTTGAGTTGACGGAAATGGCTTTCCGCAACATTGTTTGTAGATGCACCACCTCCATGATATCTTGCTTCCCAATACTCGATATAAGGGCGCCATGTTTTGATGAAATACTTAAGCGCCTTTGGTTCTCTATCGAGAATAGAGAGAATGTTATCATAGGCATCATTGGATTCCTTTGCATCTTCTGTTCTCAGAACCAAGAAATTTCATTAATAAATAAAATTCATGATAATTGTTAAGATCATTGAATTTTTTTATAGGGTGTCCAAAGGTGTGTTTAGCACAAACCTGAATACTGCGAATAGAAATAAACAAGTTACATATATATAAAGTTTATTTAAATATAATCACCATTGGATTCAATCACGCGTTCGCAGCGATCGATCCAGGCTTGAAAGACACGCTTTAAATCATCATGAGAAAATTGCTCAAATTGCTCTCTTACAAAATTTTCAAGATCATCTGGACTCGCGAATTCGCGTCCTTCAGCTCTCTTTTTTAGCGTGCCGAATAAATAAAAGTCAGAGGGTGCAATATCAGGTGAATAAATTGGGTTTGGAACAACTTTGACATTGTTTTCCACCAAGTAATTCATTACCTTATGACTTTTGTGAACTCTTGAATTATCAAAATGAATTGCAAACTTTTGTTTTTGTTGTTTGGATTTCTCAAACTCATCAGAATTGATAATTTGAGTAAGAACATTGTCAATTAGATACTGAGCATTCATCGTATTAGGTTTTTGAAGAATATCAATTGCGATGATGCCATTCACGCCCCAAAAAACCGACAACATCATCATTGGTGTGTCAATTTTTTTCTTCGGGAATGTTTGCGGATTTTCATCCTTCGGGATCCACATGATTTTGGCTTCTGTTGCATATTGAAACCAAGACTCGTCACCTGTTACTAAAAAGCGAAACTTCTTGGATTGATACGCACCCAATATAGAGAGGAGCTCTTTCGAAGATTGGACTCTAGATTTTTTTTGAACTGAATTAAGGTTGTGCGGAACCCAACGTGTATACGCTAGTTTGTAGTTCAAATAATTGTGCAGATAATAACTGACTGTTGTACATGGTATCTTTGTCATCTCCTCTATCCTTCTGAGTGATGCTCTTGGGTCTTAATCTAGCGCTTGAAGAATTGCTTTGATTTTTCTTTGATCCGGCGATTTTTTGTCAATTTTTATGATGGGCGCCTTTTTGTTCATGAAGTGATACATCCTAACATGATACGTTACAGTGGAATAGCTAGGAGCATCCATACCGAAGCATTTTACCAATGTCTCGTAGATTTTTTTACAGTCTTTGCATTTTTTTGCAAGAGCGAGGATGTTTTCTTTATGATTCATTAAAAAAAAATGAAAAAAATCCCGCCAAAATTTCCCGCGAAACCGCCTCTTGTCTCAAAATTCATTTTATATCCCGGCATGGCGCCAAAATACAACATACTCATCATATACATATATTCATATTTTTTATTATATATTTATAATCAGCATATATCTCCTTTAATAGTCTCATATAGAGCGCTGTGCTAAACGCACCTTTGGACACCCTATATTATTGGAGTCTTAGATATAGCGCGCAAAACATGAATGGCACACTAGTCAAGTTTTACGTTGGGGAAACCTTCTTGAATGGCATTTGTGATATTCAAGGCGCAGTCAGAAGAAAAATGTGTAGGCTCAAAGTTTGCTCACTGGAAGAATGTAACCAATGCTTGCTGGATATTTTCAGAAGTTTCTGGTCTAATATTAAAATAAAAAAATGGAAAGATACACTGGTGCATTGTCTTTTTCGTTAAAGAGTATAATGGTAATCTTTCCTCAATGAGTAAGTATGTAGCGTCAACATGGAAAGGTCCTTCATCATAAAGAAATCCCTTTGCTTCAAATGGAGCATATATAAAGAAGATAAGATCATCAGAATGTATGAACTGAATTAAATCATTTGTATTGTTTTGATAATTAAGAACAATTGAATCAAGAGAAACAAACGAGTCTATACTGACTCATAAATTCTTAATACAATCATTACGATAAGCAAGCATTTTTAAGGACTCGACATCTTGAGAATACATTAAAGGAATTGTACCATTTTGATATGGGATTCCGAGTTCATGAAATGCATGAAGAAGCGCTTCATATTGTGTTCCATCATGAGAAAAGTAGCGACGAAGATACTCGCGAAGAATTGAGGAACTGTACATTCGGGGTGCTGGCAGTCCAAGGCGATGATCATGAACATTTTTGATGAAAAGAATCTTTTGAACGCCATTTTGAATAGCTTGATACTTGACACAGGCTTGGCATCCGACGATTGGGCACTCATACTTGATTATGTCTTGATTATATGTGGTGCGTTTGTGGTAGGGATATTGACCAAGCATCTCCTCATGAATTATCAGGGGATAAAGCCCAATATCATCAGTTACATCAAGAGGTCCAGGTATAAGATTTGGATCCATGAAAATGAACTGAGCAAGTTGTTAAGATTTGATAAGATTGAATATATTTGAATGAATTTATGCAAATAAAAAAATAAACACACTTCATTTTTGGAAATAAAGTATAGTGTATCTAAGAAAGACTATATATAACATTTATTTTCCAAGTATTGCTACTGAACAACTTTGAGTCTATGTTAAAAAAAATCAACCATGGCCATATTTTAATTTTCCCCTTTATTAATGGTAAAAATTGCCGCGCATCTTTGGCACTTTTTGTACGTTGCACACTTTTGTTACTTTCTCTTTTTTATTCAAACGATAAAATCCAAAATATAAATTTAAACCAATAATATTTACATATTTCTGTAAAATGAAAATTATTTCTATATTTCTCTAGCATTATTTTTTAACCGCCAAAAAACCACTTTTTGTCATTTTTTATAATAGGTCGGAAGAAAGGTTCACAGTTAGGTAAAATGATTGCAGCATATTGGATTGAAAAAGATGGTTCAGTAACTTATATTAGATTTAAAGAAGATAAACCAGGTATTGAATACCAAATACCAAACTGGGATAAAGTTGGTAACACTAGCAAACGAGTTTATCATAATTATAATTTAGGAAGAAGAAACTTATCCAAAGTTAAAGTAACAAATAATATTCCTATACCTCAAATTGTTTCATCTCCTCCAACACCAGAATTAGATTCATTTCCACCAATCCATCAAGTCGATGCAAACAGTGTAAGTGATAGAGAATTTAATATTCCAAATGAAATCTTTAAACAAAAACCAGTTAACTTAGATGAAGTTGAAAATTTGAATATTGAAGACTTGTTTTGAATATTGATGTATTAAATATTATATCTAATACATTGATTAAAGGTTTATAAAAATATGGGTTTATACCAAATGGTACATCATTACAAGATACAATTCAATTTGAAATTAACTATCATAAGACAAATTACGGAAAGTGAACTCAAACAAAAAGTGACACAATGCATTTGCCAACCAAATAACTTTACAAAGCAAAAACTTAAATTACTTGTCAAGCTTACTATTCTTATTTTAACAATTAAAAAATTAAATTTTATTTTTTATTTAAAAAAATCATCTTATATCATCTGATATATATATATAACAGCATTAATATTTCAATGATTCACAAATCAACTTTTTCATTATTTTAAATAATTATAGAATATATACCGACTTTTTGTACATAAATATTTTTAGATTCAATAATGATTTACGGTTTTTTTCAAAACTTATAATTTTCCAATGAGTGGTAGAATCTTCGATTTAATTGATTTAGAATGGTTAAATCAAGCTAATCAACAAATTCAAAGCGGTATTAACGTCGAAACCGTTCTCCAAAATGTCCCTTTAACAGATGGAAGAATTCTTCAGACAAAGTTTTTGAACTTTGTATAAGTTCTCCAAAATGTTAAACTATTCAAAGCGGTATTAACGTCGAAACCGTTCTCCAAAATGTTAAACTATTCAGACAAAGTTTCCCGCTGTTTGCGAAGGAATTGTTGGCTATGATGTACTGATTCATGATCAGTACATCATAGCCAACAATTCCTTATACAAAGTTCAAAAACTTGGGTGCAATCAGTTCTGATTGCACCCAAGTTTTTGAACTTTCTCGAGGGAATGAAAGGTAAGAGATATCCATTTCCTTTCACCTTCGTTCTCAATAATTAACTTATAAATTTTTTAAAGCAAAAAAAGTCTGATTTTTTTTGACAAGTAAATATATAGGGAATTTATCCGACCAAATAAGTGTCACTTTTTCGGTTCACCTCACTTTCCGTAACTCGTCTTACAACATAACAGATTAGAACATAAACGACGAAAAAGTGTACCGAATAAGATTCTCTTTCAATGATATTGTTTTATTTGTCATTTGTTTGCAAGGAATTTCAAAATGACCAGGCTGAAGCTGATGATAACGAAGAATGGGAGCAAATACAGGATCCCACGATCCCCATCCCTCCTCCAAGACCAGCAAATTCTCAAACTGCTACTGATCATGAGGCAAAAGTTGAACTCGAAATCGATCAAGAAGACAAACTTCATGTATATTACAATGAAACTGCCATTGCCGATGATGTACTCGATGCAGTACCGCACTCTCAATTTGATCTTTTTGGTGAAATCATAACAATAGCGTCAAGATTCGGCTTCGATCAGAATGTAATTGCCCAGAAATTTCTCAATTATACTACTGACGTTCGTATTATTTCTTTGCCATTAATCAAATTAGAAGCTTTTTGGAATTTTCTAGGTCAAAATGAAGAGTACAATGCTCTTTCTGAATTTGTTAAAATGAATTTAGCAGTTTCTTGCTCAGAAGCTGTCGTAGACCGTCATTTTTCATCCAAAAGAGAAAATGTATCCGTAGAACAGAATCGTACAGATGTAGAACTTGCTTCGGCAAGGAATACCCTTAAAACCCAACAAGTCGATGACATTTTCAAGAAGTTAAAAATCCGAAAATATTTTTAATTGTTATACATATATATAATTTCATTAAACGATATTCGTTATCATTCATTGTGTTTTGTAAAGAAATGAACTTTACAAAAGTGACAAAAAATGACACATACTCTTATTTTTCGCGGCAAAATTCGAACGGGTTATTAATATAATATTTATAATATTTAAGGAATTTTATTAAATATTACTAATTAAAATATAAAAAAACTAACAGATAAATTAAATGTGTTTGATATCAACACAAATTTTTAGCATTTTTAATATGAATTCAATGGTGAGAGGTATATGGGATGCCTATATGCCTCTCACCCTTCAATCCTTATATATCTTAAAAAATTCAAATTTTTTAAAATAAAAACTTGTTTAATTATAAAATTTACATATTATATGTTATTTATAATTTATATAAGTTATTATTTTTAGATAATATTACTGTTTTAAAATATTTTTGGCGCCAAAATGTCACTTTTGGTAAAGTTCATTTTCGGTATGAGATACTTTATCATTTATTGTTTTTTTTTTCATCAAAGGTTCTATACTTTTTCAGCGGCGCAAAGCAGTGCCAAATTTTTCCTTTTGTCTTTCAATAGTACAATATATATGATTTATATATGAATATTATGAGTGAGCTTATGAGTATATGAGTATATATGAGGTATATATATGTATAAAAAAGAGTTATAGTAGTAAATTAAGCGTTTATTCTGAGGTTTTGAGCTGAGATCTTGAGTAGTTACCAAGGCACCAGACTGCGTGCTTCAATTCTTTGAAGGATGAGTCTGCAGTAATGAAGCGTTCGTGCCAGTTGTCGGACTCCCTTCCCAAGCGATTGACTCGAGATCTTAGATCAGAGATCTCTTCATCTTTGTAGTCGAGAACATTCTTCTTTTGTATTTCCTCCACCTGCTTTGTGATCTGCTGTTTTAGATCCTCGAGAACAGTGTTTGACTCCTTCAACCGAAAAAACCAGAATTTTCGAAAAAGTGACACCAACTATTAAAGTTATTTTATTACTAGATTTATTTACAAATTATAAGATAATATCATTAACCGAATATATTTTTAATATAAATAAAAAACTTTTTTTATACAAAAAATTACAATCAATCGATAAATATTATAAAACATTTATTCCAAAAAGATTAAGTAATAGGTGGGATCCTGCATATAATAGGGAACAGGACAAATTTGCCACACGGCACTTTTTTTAAAAAAAATTAATGGAGCGGAGCGATACTCTGCTGCAGGAGCCCCAAGGCTCCCAATCATTACGAAAGGGAGCCTCAGGGCTCCTGAGAATCCATCAGCAGAGGCCTTTTCATTTGGCCTCTGCTGATCAAAGATTCGGCGAAGCCATTCTTCGTCTCAGGAGCCCCAAGGCTCCCAATCATTACGAAAGGGAGCCTCAGGGCTCCTGAGAAACCTCTTTGAGAAGGTTTTCTTTAAGAAAACCTTCTCAAAGATGATTGTCAGCATTCACTCAAAATCTACCAAGAGTTTCAAAGTTTCAAATCTATCTGAAATGAAGCTTTGAATCTATTGTATATCTAATTGTAGAGGTACCTTTTCAAAATGTCTTCTATTGATTAAATTTAATCAGTAAAAGTCATTTTGAAAAGGTACATCTCTATAATTGCTATTGAGCATTCACTCTTGGAACCTTGGAGCTCTTGTGTAGTGCATGAAAACTCCAAGATTCTAGCATAAAACATATATCATAGACATAATTTCTTCAAATATAATTTAAGGTTATTTTTTAAAAAAATAGAAAAGTGTAATTTAAGGTTATTGAAAAGTGACAGTTGGCAAATTTGTCCCGCACTCCATATAATATAATTTTATGTCATAAAGTTTACAAATTTTAGATGGACCACAGTGAGAATGTGAGTGGTTAATTTAAAGGTGGTCTGATAAAGAAATCGAGGCTTACTCAACACAGCATGAAGCAGTTTCTAATACACAATCTTACTAGTGGTGTTTCGGTCGCCAGCGCTCTCATAGGGGTGCTGATTTCAAAAACCACTACTTCAAATTATTCAACAATACTCAATGCAGCATGAAGCAGCTACTACTGCTGTATCTTACTGGTACTGTTCTTCGCTTCTTACTATCAACTCTAAAACTAGTTTGATGTATTATTTATTCATATATAAATATATACATATATACATATATACATATATACATATATAAATATATACATATATAAATATATACATATATAAATATATACATATATAAATATATACATATATAAATATATACATATATAAATATATACATATATAAATATATACATATATAAATATATACATATATAAATATATACATATATAAATATATACATATATAAATATATACATATATAAATATATACATATATAAATATATACATATATAAATATATACATATATAAATATATACATATATAAATATATACATATATAAATATATACATATATATATAAATATACATATATATATAAATATACATATATATATAAATATATAAATAACAAAATACAATCAAAAAATAGTGTTTGGAAATTTAAGGTTAAGTGTCACTTTTTCGTAAATTCTACCACACTCCATTCTTCTTTTGTATTTCCTCCACCTGCTTTGTGATCTGCTGTTTTAGATCCTCGAGAACAGTGTTTGACTCCTTCAACCTATCCATTAGGACATGGTTGGTCTTGACGCTGTTCTCGAGGAGTAGACTTACGTCCCGCTCTCAGTGCCGTTTGGCTTTCGAGTCCGAGATCACGATCACTGATCTCTGTCTTTGGAGACTCTGCACTCATGAGGATTGCCTCGTCGCCAGAGAACTGTTCTTCAGTCACTTCTGGCTTCTTGATGGCAAGAGCCTTAGCAGGAGTTGTGTTGCTCACTTCCATTAAAAATGTAAACTTTACGTGACAAAAAAATCTGCCATGTTGAGCTCATTGTACCACTAATTAATATAAGTTCAACCATTATATTAGAGTCGTTAGGAATTTCATATGGTTCTTTTACATAATGTTCTATTTTATTATCAGTTGATTTATCAGTTGATTCTTCAACTCGTTTGAATAAAAAGCGCTTATAAAACTCAAACACGAGTGCATCTTTATATCCAGTGATATCGTAAAATTTTGGTGGCACAAGCTTTTCATTCACATTACATATAAATTGTTTGTTATCATGAGCAATATTACTCAACGCTATTTTTGTGCATAGAATTTGCAATATCATATAATTTCTTCAAGAATTATTCGCATAAGAATTTCAAAAAAAAATCATTTTTCTGGAAATAAATTTTTTAAAAAATGTTGAATTTCATATTAAAAAATGTAATTTGCCATTTTTGGATTATATGATAAAAATATAATTATTGAAAATAAACTCATTTTCAAAATTGCGTTAACTTATTTTCAGCAGAATTTCAAATTTGAATTTTTGGTGCTTGCTACTTTTTGTATATCTAATATACACTATATCATTATCTAATATTAAACATCCTGATTAGAGCTATTTTAAGAATATCAAAAAGTTGTTAAAGATTTGTTTTTATTTCATATATGGAAAAAAGCTAGAAATCAGAGGAAACCGTATAGAACTGAAAATAGCCGACCTCAAATGTATCTATATGATATTATTTTTTACATCCGACCACAGATTTATGAAAACGAGCAACAAATTCTGTTAAGGATGAATTAGCATTTACCAGATAATCGATATGAAGAACTCTCACAGTTAATTTTACTTTCGCAACCAGAACTCAGCGAAACTTTCATTAGAACCAATATGAATTCAGAACAATCAGATCACAAAGTTACAATTCCCCAAATATATCTATCAATCCCAACAAGTTTTCCAAATTGTTTTTTCATATATCGCTACATTCTACGCTGATAATATAGTTATTACTGAAATTTTACGCTATACAGAAAACATGGCTTTAGTTTTTAACTATTTACAAGATGAACGCAAATTTGATTTTTTCAATTTTAAAAGACTTTAGCCAAGCAGCAGAATATTGCATTGAAATTACCGAAAATTTCTGGCTGGACCTCACCGATGAAGACAATGATATACAGTTTAAAGTAGATATAATTCAATCACTTCTTAAAGAGGATTTTGATAAAGTTTTGTACTTTTTCAATTCTTCTTTCAATATCGATTTAGATTCTTTAAAAATATGAGTTTATTCATTACAAAACTACGGATTTATTAGAATTTCAAAAGCAATAGCTTTTGAAATTCAAGGCATTTTTGTTTTTTCTGATCGTACAATCAATTTGCCAAAACCAAAATGATTTTCATTTTCAATACTGGCAAGCCGTATTCCCATCAAATTAAGGATTTCAGAATTTTAAATCATGAATACAAATATTACCGTGAATTGCAGAAACATTTCCTCTACAAAATTTCTGTTGATTGTACTTTCTACGGCTTGCATTCCTATCATCGTGGCACTGCTCGTGAAGCATTCAGACTTCATGTAAATGATTGCGCAATCAAAATTATAGGCAGATGGGCTTAGAACTGCTCCACAATTTCCATAAATATAAATCTATTTAAAGCTGCTCAAGCCCTTCAAAAAGTCGATTTTTAATCGTTTCTCTTAACAATTCAAATTTTTGGTAAGGTTTTGAAACACTCAAAAGTTCGAGGAAACAATTTTGACTTTTTAAAATGGAATTAAGACTTATATCTATATATTACCTTATATCATACCAATAAAAATCATGGGAAAATATTTCAAAACCAAGGGAAAAAGCTCGAGTGTCAAACCGATTACAGTGCACCAATAAGTTTTTGATAATGAAAAGAAACAATAAAAACAAATAGTATCTACTCATATACTAGACACATACACATACTTAACCATTTTAGATAGTCACATTCTCTAGAGTGTGAAGAATTACCACTTCCATGCAGAAAAACCTCTTTTCAGTTGTAAAATTCAAGCTCGGCATCATAAGTTTATCTAGAAACAACGATGCCTGGCTTGAGATAAGTGCCATCAGCAAAAAATACTTCAATCAAGGAAGATCTTCTGACTACACGATTTACCATAATCTTCATAGAATCACCTTCATGTGAATCATGAACAATGCACATCATATTGGTTGCGTCAACATACTCGGAATGATCTGCTTCATCGATATTTGCAACAAAATGTGGATCTGTGCCATATTGTAAAAATAACTCTTGCATTCCATCGAAATATCGATCAATTTCAGTGGGATCGCAAAATACATGTTCTATATTCAATGCAAGATCCTATATTTTTGGTTTCAATAAAAAATGGAAATTTAATTTTAGAATTTACTTCATTTTAGAGATGAGAGCTCAAACTTTGTAGACAACTTTTTTATGTCCTGCAAATTTAACACTTGTCTCCCAAATTTATATATTTGGCTTAAAATATTCGAAAATTCATAACATGGACATGAATATTAATTGAAAAGATAATTGAATTAATTCAATCTGATCTCACAAACAATTTTAATTTAAAAAAATTTGGCGCCAAATGTCACTTTTACTAGTGACCCTTTCCGTATGAAATCTCCCAATGAATCCATTAACTGAAACAAATTAGACGCCAAATCAAATATATCAGCTGAAACCGAAATACACAAATGCAGATACAGAAAGGTTGTGGCAAATATGGGATACAGATACAGGAATGATCTCTGTTGACACATTCATAGCGTAATAATAAACATAATTTTCTAATTTCATTTTAACAAGTTTTTTAAAAAATGAATGTAATGAATAACAATCACCAATTTTTTTAAATTAAAAAATAAAAGTAAAAAGTATAAAGTAATCTAACAAAAAAATATTTAAAAGAATTTTGGGAAAAACAGAATAAGGATAATGATATTATTTTAGATGCACAATCGATGTACTGAAGAATAAATCTGTAAAATAATGATACAAAAATAAATTATTTTACAAGTAGCTAAGAATAAAACTATGAAATAAAATAAATGAAGCTAAATGAAAAAATAAAGGTTTAATAAATAATAAAGATTTTTATTTTATATCAAGATTCGTAAGAATTAAGTGTTAATACTTGGGAGAGAACTTGTTTATATATAGCAAATTCTATCTTGACGTTTATTTTTTTTCCCGCTCTGAAACGTATCCGGTCATTTTTTTAATTTTTATTTTTTGTGAGAGATAAGAGCTAATAATTGGTAGACAACTCCCCAATATCTATCAAATTTAACATTTATCCACCAAATTTATGGATTTGTTTTAGAATGTTCGAAAATGCGTAACATGGGAATGAATATTAATTGAAAAAAAACTTTCATTAATTCAATCTGATCTCATAAAATAATTTAAATTACAAACTTTGTAGTTTTAATAGATAATTAGTATTCAACTCAAATAAATAGTTTATTTTTGAATAAAAATTATTTGAATTTATTCAAGTTTAAATATCTTATTTGCTATATAATTATAAATACAATGAAGCATATTGGAAATTGAAAAGAATGACTTTTTCTGTTCTTTCAATCATTCAATTTGAATTTTGTAATATTGGATTTCTCATTAAATAGCTATTAAAAACAACAAGCAATTTAACTTACATTCAAATTTTTTGTGTGATATTCAATCTTCTCAAAACTGATTATATACTATATAATAAACCTATAATGGTATCATCCTTTCAATTATTTGAAGATAAAACCGAAAAAAATCTATTTTCGGTCTATAACACAATAAACACTATTTTTTTTGATATTTAACTTTCAAATTTCTTTGATGATATTCAACAATAGGATTATTTAATTTTAAGCCATGATTAACTCTCATTGAGAATGAACCCAAAATTATTACTGAACATTGAAAATAAATTTGTCATGTCTGAAGCGGATATTATTTTTGATCCAGTCCATTTCCATTTTGCGTCCAAATGTCAAGCAATTAATTATATAGTCAGTTTTATAGTAATCTTCCCTGGGTAACTTAAATTTTGACAATTTTTCCTAACTACCCTTATTGCAAGGACTGCACTGTAAAATAATGTCTAGAAATGATAAATTAATTCCTTTTGCAATTTCTAACGTGCAATCAGACATAAAATTTGTGGGGAAAATTTTTTCCAATTTAAAAAATTCTGTGAGACAATACATAATATTTTCTGCATTATTTGGAAAAATTATGAAGTAACAAAGTGGAGAATTTTAATTTCCACAATTAGACTTTTTCGAATCTCAATTCTTTGAAAAAGGAGCAGTAAGATTGTGAGTGTTAAAATCTTAGCGATCAATATAATTTTTTTTGTAATATCGAATAAAAGTTTGTTTTCGCATTTCCGTTTTATTTGACTACATGAAGATAAGAATTCTTGAGAACGATTTTAAATAAATTGCCAAATTGAAGAATTTGATATATGATGATATTCACTGATTTCTGCCAAACTTGTAGGAATGAATCCATTTAGAATAAAAACGATTTGTGCATTGGAAGCTCAGAACAAGTTATGTTCATTATCCCAATATGAAGAAAATGCACGTTTAGGAAAAGACGATAACGATTAAATTACAAAATCGATAACGACCCAGTAAATTGCATCATATTTAATCAGAAAAGATAAAAATTAACAGAGCAATATAATAATAATTGATGTATTGCAAATTTAATATAAAATAGTTAGAGAAACAAGTAGTGTGGAGAAATAATTGCAGAAAAGTGACATAAAAGTGACAGATTTCTATTTTTGACATATGAAGATAAATAAAGCCTTTGATTAAATATTGATTCATATATATTTATTGTCTTAAAAGAACTTTTCGATTTTGTTTCAATTTCCAGTTTCCAACGTTTTCTGATGGGGAAAAATGTATGTATGTCATGAATGTTGAGATCGAATATAGAAAGGCCTTAGGAGAAAACAATCAAATCAATTAGCTTTGATAACATTCTATGAAAGGTCTCAAAACCTGATCTTGTAAAATTTTTATATTTAATATTTGAAGACACTTTTAATTGCATTAATGAATCACTGGATTCATCTTTAACACCCATTCATCACTATTTAAATAAATTTAAACCAAAAAAATGAAAAGCATATGCTCGATGATGATGAAGATTGAATATGTTAATATTGCGGAAATTCAAATTATGAATATGGAATATTTTACCATGTTAAACACACATATATATATTTAAATGAAAAATAGACAGAGAAGAAGGATCTCACGATTTAATGCCGAGCTTCTGCTACTAATTTTGGGTAAGCAGCAGATGCTCGCCTATTTGTGTCTGCTGCAAATCTCTGTTGAAGCATGGGGCATTCATTAAAAGAATCTCTGCAATTTCTTCAATCTCTACCAACAGGATTAACCGGGGAATTCTTAAAGAAATATAACGATATCTAATATCAAGCAAACATAGGATGAATGAAAAATAAATGAAAAAGAGTGAAAATTAAATGATCAGCGTAAAAGTGATTGTAAAATAAAGAATGCGGAATAAAAATGATGAAAAATAGGGAAAGTGTTCTCGGTGTCCCCGGGTGAATTTTCGACATAAAATGAAGGGAATTAGAATTCTCCTTACTTGTACCATTTTATTTTAATTGATTTTATATCTCATACCGAAATGGCTCACAAAGTAGTGATAATTTTGGCGCTAAAATAAAAATAGCATTTTTTAATTTTTTTGTAACAATTAAATTTGATCATATAAATATATATAATTTAATGAAATATTAATTTAAAATTTAATGTTTATATAATAACTTGATAGTAACTCAAAGTTTGGAAATCTAATAAAGGGAATTGTAGGCGATGAGGTACTGATTATATATCAGTGCCTCATAACCTGCAATTCCCATTTCTGCTTAGAATGAAAGGGCAAGAGGTATATAGGTACACTATATATCTCTTGCCTTTCATTCTTGCTGCAAGACTTCCAAACTTTAATTAATTTTATTTTGCCTATTTTTTCACTAAATTTAAATCTTATATAATATAAATAAATTACATATTATAAATAAAACAATTTCATATCTTTTCTACTTAATTAAAATTGCCGCGCAATTTTAGGTTTTGTGTCACTTTTTCGGTTACTTTTTTGTGAGCCATTTCGGTACGAAACAATTTTAGTTAGTAAACCAGTCTTGGGTATGGTGGCACTGTGTTCCACCTTACCCAATACTTGTGAATTTGACACTTTACAAAACCACTAACGTATATTTTACAAGACGAACGCAAAAACTAACTTAACCTTAAATATTTACAAAGCCGCCAACCACTTCACTTCACTAACGAACTCACTAATGAAAAAATAAACGTTCACACTAACGTTCTCATAAATTTTCTTCAATATCTTCATCATCAGTGTTAACTCTATTGTAGTCATACTTGAAGTCATAAAGTTTCTCAAGTTTTGAAATGCATAGCCTTGTTAACTTACCTTCATCATCATAAGTTTTTATAAAACTACCATGACAATCTTTATACACAGTCAATGTATAATCTACTGGTCTCGGATGAAGTGTAAAGAACATGTTATACTCAGGAAGGAAGAATAAATGTTTAAATGTATGTTTGTTATATGTTTTGATTTGTATGAGTTGCTTTTGTTCTGTCATTTATATAAAAATAAAATAAAAATAATTTTAAAAAAATAAACTTTAAAAATAAATGATATCACCACCTTCACACGTATGAAAACATAGCACAAAAATAAATTTAGGGTAGAAGGGTATATCTAACCCGATATCTAACCTCATTTCTATCCTGTTGAATTCATTGCTTTATAACTCTCTTTCTTGGTTTCTTTTTAGTTGCTTTCTTTACGTCCGTCTCCAACTTGACTGTCTTTCTTCTTCGTCCATAATGATACCAATTACTTCCACCAGTCAATGGGTCAAATGGTCTTTCGTAAGGGTTTCCATACATTCCATAGGGACTATACGGAAGAACTGCTGGTGGAAGTTGTGGAGAAGAAACATTTTCTTTAGTTCCATCGACTCTATTTAAATGCATTGTTTCACCTTTCATCTGGTCATTAAAGTCTTTTGCGTGTTTTGCAAACTCATCGTCCTTTCCTAAAGCATTTTCTGACTCAGTCGCAACCAAATTGGATGCTTTATTTATGAGCCCTATTTTATTTAATCTTAACTTCTTTGCAACCCAGCCTCCAATCTTCCCTTTATTTGCATCTAATGTCTTCGAAACCCTTCCTCCACTCATTTTATTTACTGCGTCATAAGCTCCAAGTGCTTTTGCTCCAAATGCTAATGCTTTTGTTCCCATTACGCCTAAAACTGCCCAAGCTACCATTTACACCATATTAAAATCATCTCTCTTCAATATTATCTCATAAAAGTTCTCGTTACTGGAGAAAGTCAATGAAACATAAGCGTTCTCACAGGCTTCGCCCTCACCGCTTTGCGGTCTATCTAACTTCTTTCTTATCTCATCTATTCGCTTCAAAATGTCTGAACAATTGCTAACATCTTCTACAACAGTTATTTCATCATGAATGACCTTCAAGAACAAGCTCATTTAATATGCTATTAAAATCATCTCAATAATGAGTCCATCCTTTCCATCTTTAGGTAGCACAACATCTTTCATTGAAGAAGGTTCGACAAGTCTTATGTTAAACTTACTGACAAAGTTTGTTATACTATAATGCTTCGGTGGCGAATACATATAGTTTGAAAGACATAATATAGATTCTTCAGCAAATTCACTTATACTGGATTTTATAACAATGTTCTCACGAGACCAAATACCACCAATTGACAATCTTGTAAGCAATCCTGCTGAACCTTCAACTGTAAACGTCGATGGTAACATTCCACGAAGGTCATCTATTGACATCTTTGAGTCACTGAATTTAAAGATTTTCTTAAAGCAATCGTCATTATCTAACCATGCAATAGCTTTGAAGTTTTCATTCGAATATACATCTGCTTCATTAAATGTAAAACCTGACTTCTTTGCAGAGACGACTTTAAAATCTATTGAGTTTGTTTCAAAATTATATGCTATGGTAACTTCTGATGGTAATGGATGTCCTTCTGCAGTCAGTTGTTCTCTCACTACCGTTTGAAGCTTTGTGTTAAAAACTTTCATGTCATCTCCTGTATCTAAGTTCACATACACAGCGACAGGAAAAATATCTTGCTTCTTTGTTTCATCATTATATCTCAAAACATTAAAGTTCTGCTGAAATCAATACTTCGAACCTGTCTGATTTCAATAGCTTTCTCACCACCTACATACTCTACCCAGTGTCTTGGATATTCATAAGTATACTGACTTTCTTGAATTTTGGTAGGTTTCATCATAACGTGTTCATAGTATATCTTTATACTCTTGTCAGTTAGACTCGGTGCTATGTTCTGAATATTTCTGACTTGCATTTTTAATGGAGATAAAATGAAGCATTTAATACATGACGTAGATGAAGACATGAACGAAACCACAGACAAACTTAACTCTTCTCTCATTCTTCCTTTCAGTAAGGACTATGAGTTCTGTTCAAACGGTGTGTACTTTTATTGTGGAAAGATGGGGTCAGGAAAGACATTTAACCTCATTTGTCATATTCTTATAACAGAACGTTTAGGAAATGACTCATATTATGACCAAATCATTATATCAGCAACTTCAGACTCTATGGACTCAACGGCGAAAACATTCATGAGTAAAGTTCAAGCATCTGTCGTTAAAGTTCCAGACAGTGAACTCATTGAATTTCTTCAACGTTACATTCGACGTAAGAGAAAATATTATGCCATCGTAGAGTTCATACAGTCAGGAATGCAAAAGACCTCTGAGGAGATGAAAAGAATTATTGACAAACACCACTTACGTCAGTACTCAGGAGTTTACGATATGAAACGACTGACAAACTACATTCTATCAAAACTTTCAAAATACCCCTTCAAAAAATATCCTTCAAACACTCTGCTCGTTTGCGACGACTTCGCCGGAAAAGGTTTAGTTTCAAAGCCTGACTCACCATTAGCTAACATCATAACTAAAGTCAGACATTACCATTTAACTGTAGCAATACTTATGCAAACATGGCGTTTCCTTGCTTTAAACATAAAACGTCTCATAACTGACTTTGTTATCTTTCAAGGTTTTTCACGTTATGATATTGAACTCATTTGGAAACAGTCAGGTATAACATTACCTTTTGAAGAAATTTGGGAAGCATATAAGTCTCTCATCTCTCCTCGTTCATACCTTGAGATTCATATCATGACTAATATCATTAAAGTCAAAAATATTCCATGGGAACGACCAACATTGTTTTAAAGCTTAACCTTCAATTGACTGATGGTAAACAAATTCCATGCATCTCTGTCGCCATTTCTGTTAATATTTTTGCTGTCATTCATATCATCCACTTCCCCATCCGTTAACTTTTGAGGATATGTGTTAGAATAGCTGTTCTTAAATGAAGGCTTTTCACCTTTGAGAGCATAAACTCTATAACTTTCTGCATACTTTATGTTTGAACCTCCTGAGCCATCATTGACATAAATTTTTATAGGCTTCCACCCTTTGTTCATGTTTCTGCTTCTTCCCTTAGCTCTTTTGTTCAGTAGTTCTACATCTTTATACACAGCTCCTGTCTCAGTGAATTCAACAATATTTTCATTCGTTAGCTTTACATTCAAACCCTTGTCGAGTATATTGTTCATTTCATACATATAAAAGGTTTTTATTCTATATGAAATGAGAAGCAAATCCATCTTAGCTGGTGCCGTTAATGTTCCAATTGAACCAACATCAAATGTTGACTCACGAACGACAAACAATATTGTCATAAAGAACTATAGTTCAGAATGTTTGAAAGACAAAGAAGAGCTGAAATCAGGACCTTCGGTCTTGGCGCATGGCGCCGTGAATTTAAACTCAGCTTCAAATGCTAATGCTACATCAGATGTTAAGTTAGAGTATCCACCACTGGACCAAGTTCTTTCAAGAGAAGCCAACGACAACCCTTACATAAATGTTCAAACAAATCCTTCAGATAACGTAGACCATTACCTTCTTCAGTTGTATCAAACTATCTTACTCAAAGACGATAAGAAGCTTTTGACAAATCTTATAAGTAAGAACCAAATAATTCTAACAAAGGAGGACCTTGAAAATGTTATATCACGAATAGCAGGGAAACAATGTGTCATTGACTATCTCGACCCTGAAATCGAATGCTGTGGTCAAACTCCAATATTCATGAAAATAGGTAACATCCGCATCATTGAAACGCCAGGTACTCCAGGAGTTGAGTTTAAGTATAGATATTTGAACGAGTATACAAAACTATCTACTGATTATAAGCTTTGTTTGAAATATGTTTTAGTAAATTAAAGCAGTCAGTCAGTCAAAAAAATTTCAAGTTAACAACTTATAGTATCTGTCCAAAACTTCTTCAACAGTATCGAACTCATCTTCATAATGCAGACCTAATCTTATTGACTTGGTGCAGTTTTCACTAACACAATATTTTTCTGTTCTCTTGACTGACATAACTAACTCATTTGTTTCATCAAACAGCAACAACCAAAGTTCATGACCTAATACATAACATTCATACTTTATATTTTTAGCTCTGAGTTCTCTTGTAAGCTGTTGCATTTAATATTATCTAAAAAGTCTACTTCAACAGTCATTCGCACTGGTGCCTTCAGTATTACAGGCTCGCCTTGAAAGTCAACGAGTCTGAATTGCATGTCTTTCAAATTATGTGGACTAATGCGAACCCATTTACCTAAATGAGTTGCTAAAACAGGAACGTTTGGAATGAACATTGAATTGACTGCATAACAGAAAGATTTATACTCTACTGAACCTTTACTATTAACTCCTGAAATGCCTGTGACATTAGCTATTTTTGACTCAATGTACAAACAATTGCCATAACATACGTATGGAACAGATTTCATCTCAATAACTCCACCAACGCTTTTTAAAGGAAATGTCATATGATATGCTCCCAGAAGCAATTGAACTCTATGACTCATTCTTGGTATCTTAAACTCTTTCTCGCTGCTGAACTTCAATGTTCCCTCAGAAGAGAGTTCGACATCTATGTTGTCAATAGTTTCTTCATTTATGAGAGTATCTATAACTCCAGCAATTTTATCTATATTCTATACTCTGCTCTGTTAGGAAATGTTATAAAACTTCTTTTGTCATCTATTTCAATCTCTATGAAATCTGCTTCATCCGTTATGACAAAAGTTGCGATAGTATTGAAGTCAACAACTCTGAAAGCAAGTGCTTCATTCTGAAGACCTAAGTTTGTTTGTAGCTTTACTGTTCCATATTCATTCGGGTCTGTACTTTGCAAATAGAACAACATTTTATTCTCATTAAAATATGACTATTGCTGCATATGCGTATGAAACAAATGAAGCAAGAAGAGCACATGAACTAGTAAACGAAAACTCAACTTTAACAATTGAAGGTAATGATTTAGTCATTGACGATGGAAAAACTAAAAAAGTCATTGACTTCGATACTTTTAACACTTATGACCCATTCATTACAACAAGTAAAGTTCCTATCATAAATGATGGAATGGTGCAATATATAAATTCTACAGTAGATGCCTCATTAGTGAAAGTACTGAATGTTCTCATTGAATTACTAAAGAGCTTTCGATTTGACGACAACATTAAATGCTTAAAGAATTTAGTCATGAATGAAAAACAAATTCTCGGCGTTGCTGGTAGCAGTAATGATGTACACCTTATGACATTAGAATATTATAACGAACATAAAGATGAACTGAAAGGAGAGAAGGGTGACACTGGACCTCAAGGACCTCAAGGCGAAAACAGTTTGGACGGTGAAGATGGAAAGGATGGAAAAACTGCTAAATCATGGATATGGGACCTTATAAATACTGGTTTAACAGCTGGTTCATATGGAGTTCTTCAATATCAAATCGGAAAGATATGGGCAGTACTTGGTGAAGAAGCTTTAGATGACATGAATTTAGCTATTCAGAACTCTTGACAGAAGAAGAGAACGAACAACATGTAAAAGATTATGCAAAATTTTTGAAGACATACAAAGCATTTAAACAATATCTAGAAGCTTCTAAAGATTATGTAAAATTTCTAAAGGTATATAAAGCTTATGAAAAAGCGTATGAAAAGTTTATACATTGGGGAATTTTTGTAAAATATCGATATGAAGACTAACCAAAAATATATTTTTGCTTAAATGACGTCAGGGTCAATTTCTTCAACCATTTCACTTCCTTCGTCAATGTCAATAGAAGCTTCTTCAACCTTTGGTAAGAATTTTTGTATAACATCTTTGTTCGTTATTGTCTTCAGAGATGAAGGATAATATTTCACAGATGTTTCACCCTTCTTATATTCTTTCTGTTCGGAAAGATTCATAGCAATACTGAAGAAGTCAATGTTGGAGTTCTTTATAACAGTATAGTGTGTATCTTTGACATTCACGAAGAAACCCCTTTGTTTCAAAACTACTGCTAACTCTTGTGAAGTATAACGTTTGCGGTCAATGACGATAGCTAATGGTCTGACATACTGACCAAACTTTGATTCTTTCACAAACTTTGATTCTTTCACAAACTTCTTGATAAAGATAACATTAACGTTTGCAGCACCATTGAACTCATTCTTGATGGCAGTAGCGAGAGCATTGTATGAAAAGAACTTGCAATCTTGCATGTGTTTCATTAAAATAAAAATATTAAATTATTTTGAAAAATAACTTAAAAAAATCTAATCTAATTTTTTCAAAAAATATTTTTTTTATTTCCTACTAAAGATGTATCGGAAGTTGTCTAAGTTAGAACACTCAGAAATAAAACAACTTCTAACAGAAGCTAACATAGAAATAGCAAAACATTACGCAACAAACAAAAAAGCACTCGCTGACTTCATTAAAGACTACAATGGTGAAATAACTTACGATAAAATTCATGAGTTCATAAAGCCACAACGCGGCGAGGACGAAGTCCATGCAAGAACTTTTCCTTTAAATGACGTTGCTATTGACTTATATCATAGACGTTCAGTACCACATAAAGTAAGAAGAGAAATGTTTGACATAACAAATGCAAACGTTGGTCATACTCGTAAAGCTCTTTCTCATGACGTTCGTCAAGAAATGTTTGAACTTACGAACTCAAACGTTGGCGAAACAAGAAGAGCTGTACCACATGAAGTAAGGCGTGAAATGTTTGACATAACAAATGCGAACGTTGGTGAAACAAGAAAGAGAGACGACACACTGAAACAACAGAGAAGAGAGATGTTTAAAAGTGCTATAGAACAAGTTCGCAAAGCTAATGATGTCATTCGTTCCATTGACGACAAACCAAAAGAAGGTGAGAGATGGTTAAAAAAGATGAAGAAAATAGGAAGAGGAATGTGAAGTCAGGCAATAGACTCATTGACTTTAACATCGAAGCTTTAGATGAACCAAACAGAGACTACTTACACAAACATTTCGGTAAGGTTTTCATGAGACTCTTAGAGAAAATTAAAATAAACTCACAACAGAGATGGACGGTATGTTATAAACTTGGTGGAAAGTATGAATGCTCTACATTAAACTTCAATAATATTGGAACATTACTACATCAGCTCTTGAAGGAGAACTTTATATCAGAGATAGAAGCAAATGCTGCAGGTATTGTTGAAATGCACTATGACTTCTTCTTGACAAACATAAAGAATCTTACTGAAATAAAGATGTATGATTTAACAGAATATGAAGGCTTAACGATGTCAGATGTAAAGAAAGGCAAACCAAAAAAGAGACCATATAGAGATGAAAGCACACTGACAAATGACCAGAAAGCCATTTTGGAAGCTCTTAAGCAAACAGGAAACCCAGCACTTATAGAAAGCTTTTGGAAAGATAATGGTGAAAAGAAGTTTTATAAGAAGAGAAGCGGGCAGTTCTGGAAGTATCTTTGCACATTACCTATAAATCTTGAGCGCTACCAAATCTTCAATGAACTGAACAAAAGAACTGCAACACTGATGACAGAGGACAATTGTTTCGTTTATGCTTGCATTCAGGCTGGAGTAAATGAAGAAACTATTGACCACATGAGAGAAGTCATTCGTGTTAGAGACTTTCCTCAAAGTAAAGTACAAGAAATTTCTGACGCAACAGGTATAGCATTTAATGTTACCATTGGTTACTTCAATGACTCAAGACATAATGAAATAAAGAGATATATACCAAAAGAATGCGAAACTGTTAGAACTATTGACTTACTTCTTGTTGAAGACCACTACATGCTAAACGAAAGATTACCAATGACAACATATTTCATCAGAAATTACAAAGAAATCTTGAAGGAATGTGGTGGAATGAACATTGAGAAACAGATGAAGATTTATACAAAGAGAGAAGATAAATATGTAGTTCGTTATGATAGAACAACACCGTTATGGGATGTTATGAAAACATTGTGGGAGTGCAAATATTTTGAACCTATTTCTTATGGAGAACTTTTCACATATACGACTGACTTATATAAACAGAACCTTGTACCATTTAAAGATTTGACATATCCTCCAAAGTATTGTGTACAACTGAAGCAGAAAGCAGAGTCAAAAGAAGTAAATAAAGCTAAATGTAAGTTCATTCCTGAGCACGTTTTCTTTGCTGACTTTGAGTGTAGCACAGACGGCTTTCATAAAGCGTTTAACATATGTTATGACAGTGAAGATGGTTCAGTTAGTGAAAGCATTTGGGGTCAGAACTGTGCAACAGGATTTTTGGAAAGACTCTCTGACAAGAGTTTAGTATATTTTCACAACCTCAGCTATGACATAAACTTTATCTTAAGACACATGACAGAAGTGAAAGGAACTCCCATCATTAAAGGTTCACGAACAATGCAAATAACTGGCTTATATAAAGGAAGGGCAATTATTATAAAAGACTCTTACAGTGTTATAAATAAGAAGCTTAAACTATTTCCTGCTATGTTTAACTTACAAACAGGACCGAAAGAAGTATTTCCATATAACTACTACAGCAGTACTTTGCTCATGAATGACAACAGAACTGGTGTCATTTCTGAAGCATGTAAGTTTGTCAAAGATGTTGAAACATTCATGAAAAACATAGATTCCATCAAAGGTTGCAGAATAGATGAAAACCACTTCAACGTAGAAAAATATAGCACATTCTATTGCAAACAAGATGTAAGAATTTTAAGAGAAGGATTTGTAAAGTTCAGAAATGACTTATTGAAAGAGTTTGATTTAAACGTATATGACTACGTTAGTATTTGTTCTATTGCTAACAAATTGTTTGAGAACAGAGTATAGGGATGCGACGGTTTTACGCCATGACCGTTTAAAAATAGAATAATACGCCATTTTTGGGGCCGAATGGCGGGTACGAAGTAGCCGCCATTCGGCCGAATAACAAAACAATACAAAATTATCGCCGTCCTTTTTTTTCTTTCTTTCTCTTTTTTTCTCTCTATCTTTCTTTTCTCTTTCCTCTTTTTACTCCTCTTTCTCTTTTCATCATTAAACGTAGAAAGATATATTAATATTATTTTAAAATTAAAAAAAATAAAGAAAGTATAATAAGTAATTATTTAGTTATCGATATATATATGTAAAGTGATAATCTGAGGATAATCTGAGGAGGAGTCTGAGGATTAGACCGAGGAGTAGTTTGAGGAGTTTGATGATAATCTGAGGAGTTTGAGGAGTAGTCTGAGGAGTAGTCTGAGGAGTTTGAGGATAATCTGAGGAGTTGTCTGAGGAGTAGTTTCAGGAGTTGTCTGAGGATAATTTGAGGAGTAGTCTGAGGAGTTTGAGGATAATCTGAGGAGTTGTCTGAGGAGTAGTTTCAGGAGTTGTCTGAGGATAATTTGAGGAGTAGTCTGAGGAGTTTGAGCATAATCTGAGGAGGAGTCTGAGGATTAGACCGAGGAGTAGTTTGAGGACTAGTCTCAGGACTAGTCTGATGAGGAGGACTCTCAGGAGTAGTCTGAAGAGTAGTCTCAGGAGGAAGATCTGAGGAGGAGTCTTATGAGGAAGATCTGAGGAGTAGTCTGATGAGGAGGGGTCTAAGGAGTAGTCTGAGGATGATGAGTAATCTGATAAGGAGTAGTCTGAGGATGATCTGAGGATAACCTGATGACTAGTCTAGGAGTGGTCTAATAAAAATGTAAAATATTTTCAAAGAAAAAATTCTATGAATTTTATACTTTAATTCTTAGCATTATACTGAATAAAATAAACATAAATATCAAAATTTGAAATTGAACACGCCAAAAAATTGATAATCCACATTCAATATTTTGTAAGTGGCGTACTTTTTGAATACTCGCCATACGCCTTGGAGTTCTCAATTTTGAATTCGCCTTTATTTGGGCGACCTCAGAAAAATACGCCATTAAGAAAATATTGTATGAGATTTTAAATTTGAACACGCTCTACCTTAAGGAATTAAATTTATTAAGATATATTTATATATAATAAACGATTACTTAAAAAAGTATTTCATCGCTTATGTAAGTTTCAAAAAAATCACGAAAATAAAAAAATCAAGATTAAGATTTTATTTTTAATTTTTGAATTTCTCAAATGGCGAAATTTTTGGGCGAACAAAAAAAATGTACGCCCGGTCAAATGGCGTGTTTAACGCATCCCTACAGAGTATACTTCCCGAATGGAAACTTATATGACCTCTCAAATAAACCAAGAGAGTTTATTTCGAGATGCATTCAAGGTGGAAGATGCATGCTATCAGATAACATGAAACAAATGAGTGAAAAGAAACTCATTGCTGATTTCGACGCTGTTTCATTATATCCATCAGCAATTGCAAGATTGTATACTTTAGAAGGTATTCCAAAAGTATTGAAGGATGAGATGTTAAGTTCTGAATATTTGTTAAAGCATTTATTCGATGACGACCAAAAGGAACCCATTGGTGAAAAGTTTATGTCTGGCTTCTTTGTTCTCATTAAGATAACAAAGATTGGAATACATAGACACTTTCCTTTAATAGTTTGCGACCCTGAACTAAATCCAGAACTTAACGTTCCAAGAAGTTCAAACACTTGCTGTCTCATGTATGTTGACCATATAACATTACAAGACCTCATAAAATATCAAGGTGTCAAATGTGAAGTGTTGCAAGGATACTACTACGATGGAAACAGAGATATTAGAATAAGAGATGAAGTAAAGAAGTTGTTTGAGTTAAGGTTAAAGTATAAGAAAGAAGGAAATCCTTTGCAAGAAAATATAAAGCTCATTCTGAACAGTATTTATGGCAAAACTATTCTATCTCCTATTGAGTCAAAAATAACCATAGTAAATGACAAAGATGCTATAAGATATGCCATCAGAAACTACAACCATATAGTGAAGTTCGAAGGTTTGGATGGTTCAGATAAAACTATTTTCAAGCTAACGAAAAGCATTTGCAGACACTTTAACTTCTGTCCACTTGGTGTTAACATTCTGTCTATGTCAAAACGTATTATGAATGAAGTATTCTGTACTGCAGAAGATATGGGCTTGTATATAGCCTATCAGGATACCGACAGTATGCACTTATATAATGAAGACATTCCAAAGCTTGCAGCAGAGTTTAAGAAGAGATATGGTCGCGAACTTATAGGAAAGAACCTTGGTCAATTTCATAGCGACTTTGCAGAAATCACAAAAGATAAACAAAGTTTAGCTTCTAAAAGTATTTTCTGTGGAAAGAAGACTTACATAGACTTACTCATTAATGATTTAAATGAAGTTGTATTTCACTGCAGAATGAAAGGCGTGAAGCAAGATATTATTGCTTTAACCGCTAATGAAATGTTTCCTGACTCTGTTCAGTGTTTCTATGATGAAGATAAAGGTTTAATGGTTCCGCAAGGAAAATTTGACAAAGACTCTGAGTTCAGTGTTATGAAGTTATATAAAGCACTTTATGACGGTCAAGAGATTGCATTTGACTTATGTAAGTCATGTCAACCTTGCTTTGAAGAAAAGTTCAACTTTTCAATAACGAGCAAAACAAGTTTCATACGTAAGTTAAAGTTCTGAGGTCATGAATGAAAAAAATAATGAAGTCATTTATTTTTGTCAGAAGTGAGACCATTCATGATAAAAATAAGCCGCTAGCGGCAAGGGCGAAGCCCATGTGGTCATTTACAATACAGCTCTTGTAGAATTTAAGAGTTGTGCTTCAATGTAGAGACAATCTTTCCCATCTGGAGGTAGCAAAACAGGTGCTTTATGGTCATGAGTGGAGAACATGTCTATCCAAAACTCACGATTGTGACCAATGAGTTTGTAATACTTAGGATTTGGCAGTGGTGTAGTTCTTGTATGACCTATGAACTCATTTTCAACGCCTTTAGCTATATTAGAGAAAAGAATAGCTTGCTTTCTATCCCAAATGCCAGGTGTTACAATCTTTGAAAATTCATTTTTCCTCGGAAGCATTGCATCATAATTGAAAACATTCTTGAAGTCTTCATTGGGTTCAGAGATTTGAAATCTTATTCGAAATGGCTCTTCTTTCTTTTTAGCGACTTCATTGAATGGTGAATATATAACAAACTGACAGTCATGAGTTCCATCTTCATTTTCATTAAATTCATAATGAAAGTCTATAAGTTGTGGCTGACTACCTTCTTCTTTCAGTTGTGCAAGAAACTCACGTAAAGGCTGTAAAGTTTGTACTTCAATGTTGAACTTTTTCTCGAACATTTCATTAAATGAAATCATACATTGTTGCAATGTTGTATCGTCTTTAAAGTATTTGTATATGTGAATATTTTGGGCGCTTAAAGACTGTTCGTCATTTTCTATCTCGACTTGAAGTATAAAGTCAACCTTTCTGAAAGCACGTGTTATATACATAGATGTTATGCCAATGTACTTATCTTCATTTATGTTCACAATCCAGTCTGTTGGAAACTTAAACGTTACTCTGTTCCCTTTTATTTTAACGTCAGGGTTTTCACTACTGAATGCAACAGATAAAGGTATTTGTCTATACATTTAGTTCGGATAAAAATAAACCATTTACTCTTTCTTTGCTTCAGCTTCTTTAGCTTTTTGTTCTTCCTTTGCTTTTGCTTCAGCTTCTTCTCTAGCTCTTTTCGCCTGCCATCTCGGGTTCTTCTGACGTCCAGCAGCTAATGCAGCAAGTTGTTTTTCACTAAGTTTTCTCTTTGGTCTCTCTGGCTTTTGTTCTTGTTTTTGTTCCTTCAGTTCGGATAAAATTTGCTCGCGAATTTCTTTCTTCAATGCTTCAACATCTATTGTCTGAGTCATTTGACTGCAGATAAAAAACTAAATTAAAACTTTAACCAATGTAAAATGAGCTTGTCAAAATCAGAGCGAAAGTCTATTATATTAAATGACGCCAGAGGAATACAACATCCTTTCTATTATGTAAGTCAGAGTAAAGATGGTAAAATATATGTAAGAAAAAGAAAGGTACCATTAGCGAATACAGAGAGCGACAACATTAAGGTGCATGGCACCGAGGGCGAAGCCCATATAAAACCTTCTGTTCAAACTGAGCCACCAAAAGAACAAGAAGAAAAGAAGCCAGATGTACTTTCAATAACGAACCAAGAGCTTATTGCAAAGTTCGTGAATTTCATTGAAAAACAAACCGAGTCAAAGAACCCCGACCCACCAGTGAAAGAAGTTGAGACAAAAGAGAATGTACAGTTCATTAAAAATGTCAAGAAACAACTTCCACCACGAATACCAAGAAGAAGAGTGAGAATAATGAAGTAAATAGATATTTTTATCTGAAGTAAATACATGCAGAACGAACAGCTAAACGAATTTACTCCAGCAGAGCATATTCATCAGATTCGCTCATATTTCGATATCATAGACAATGCAGTTCAAATTGGTGACACTAATAGAAAATATTCTGACGCAAAGATTTCATCACAACCTGGAACTGCTAAAGATAACACATGGGTAACATTCAATCTCTCACCTCCTGGTGAAAATATGTTGGACCTTTACAATACATTCATTACGTATAAAATGGAAGGTCAATTTATTGTAGATAAAGAAATTGGTTCAGGTTCCGATAAAACAAACCCACCAGGATTTTGGATTGGTTTCGATGACGCTTTCTATGCAGTTGCTGGATATCAAATCCTTGCAAATGGTCGTATCGTATATTCTCAAGACAACGCAAGAGAAGAAGCATATATAACTTCAAACTCACAAACTACCGAACAAATAAAGAAAGTAGATGTTTTCTCAAAGACTCGACATGAAGATGTATGGAGTCATTCGGGAACATGCAGAACAGGACAAATTGTTAGTGGTCCAATTACAGCAGGAAAATCATTTGATTTTAAGCTTCGTTTAAGAATTCCTGTTAGAAGATTCCTTCCATTAGAAGCTATTCGATTTATTCCAGCTTTTGCAGGAAACATTCAGCTTAAAGTAAAGTTCAGTAGCGACGCCTTACAATGCACATCTATATCTGTAAATGATATCATTGCTTTCAATCCAACTCTTAAAGTTGCATTTGCTTCAGATTTAAATCCACCGACAAATAAATTTGTTCCATGGAATGAACCATTCACTATGATAACGAAGGCAGTAGAAGCTAGTGGAACAGTTACTATTACAACTGTAACTCAGCAACTATTTCGAACAAAGATGGATTTTAATGAATGTTTCATTCATCCAAAGTCATTCTCTTTAGACCCTAACATTTATACAGAACTTGCAGAACATTATACAAACGAGGCTTTATGTTTTCCTGTTAAAGTTATGGATTGGATTCCTATGGACGGTTCATTCTCAAAGAATACAGATAGTTCAAGTGCAACATTTACAGCAGCTTATACGCCTATTAATGTTAAAAGTATTTGGGCACTATTTAGAAAGAAAGACAACTATTATGTTAATTTTGAGAACTCTAAGTTTAAATATCTTCAGCTTTCCATGGGAGCTTATGGAAATATGCCTGCAGAACCTGAAAAATCATATGGACCTGTATTTTATGAAATGGTTGCGAACGCTTGCAATACAAACAATGATATGATAGGATTTAATGAAGATGTTATGAGGTCATTGGTGGATGATGGTAGTGTGGAACATAAATGGGATAGCTATGACAACACACATTTCTTATGTGGTTTTCCAACAGAAGTGGACTTTTGCTTCCAGCAAGGTCAAACATCTACTGCTCCAATAACATACAAATTGTCTGTTAAAGGACCTATTGAACTAGCAACTGAAAATGTACCAAAGCCACTTATTGGATTTATGAGGGATTGTTGCTTTGCAATACAAGTAAGACAGTCAGGCATACCAATAAGGCAAACCCAAATTTTAGCTAAAAGTGGCAGGGAAAAAAACGTTTAGTATTAAAAAAAAGACCGATGAGAGCTTCGTTCGAAATATAGAGGGAACTGAGAATGCGCAACCATTCTCAGGAAATATTGGATGCTATTCCCGTTCCCTCTGTATGGAAAATTGAGGTTTTCAAAGGGAGTTAAAATAATATCAAATTTATACTAATTTACTTCAAAATACAAAAGTATTTGACAGCTAAAATTAGTTACTTTAGCAAGCCTATCAATACCCTTTTACGATTATTGTTACTTTTTCGAAATAAAAGTAAAAACAAATTTATACTAATTTACTTCAAAATACAAAAGTATTTGACAGCTAAAATTAGTTACTTTAGCAAGCCTATCAATACCCTTTTACGATTATTGCTACTTTTTCGAAATAAAAGTAAAAACAAATTTATACTAATTTACTTCAAAATACAAAAGTATTTGACAGCTAAAATTAGTTACTTTAGCAAGCCTATCAATACCCTTTTACGATTATTGCTACTTTTTCGAAATAAAATAAATTTATTATTATTATTTGACAGCTCTTAAATTTTGGAGTAGGTGACAAAAGTGCATACTCTTAAATTAACCTTAAATGTTTATTTTTCGATATTTTCGGTATTAACCTTATTGTAAATTTTTCCGGTGATAAATTTATCACACTGAGGTTATTTTTCCGGTGAGATTTTTAACCTTGATTTAATGAAATTAATATATATAAATTTTATTATTTTTAATTTCGAATGAGTATAATAAAATATTTTTTTATATCGTCATAACTCTCATCACTGTTGTGATTCCAAATGCGATTATTAAGGTTCAAGTCGCTAATGTTTTGAATGAAGATAGAGCAGTAAGAATTCTTACAAGGGCAGGTAATCAGATTGTTGAGCAAAGAGCTTCAAAACACGATGAATGTTTGAAATTAATTCAACACATTTTGGAAATTGTCGAAAGCCGAAGGATTGAACCTAATGTCCTTATTCCATCTTTGAAGACAATATTAAATTTGGCACAAAGAAGTTTAAAGGAAGAGTAAGCAAGATTAGATAATTTGGACTTTTTTTAAAATTAATGAATAAACAGTATATTTTTGAAGTGTAAGCTTATTTACCTGAAGCTATATTACTTAATATAACATTCAAAGTATTATTGCTATTTATTGGAGAACAAATTTATGTAATTTTCACATGAAAATTGATAAATTTGTATTTCCTTATGATAATCAATTTTTGTATTTGTAGAGAGTCTCCCTGCATGATATCAAGACTTGGCTATTGGTCTTTATCCATTTTTGAAAATTGTATTGTAAATTGTAAGAATTTCTGAATACTACTACTATAAAATATAATTGCTTATCTATGTATATTCTCCCTGCATGATATCAAGACTTGGCTATAAGTCTCTATTCATTATGAGTATGACCCCATTTTTTACAAAAAGTGCCGAATTGCAACTTTGTCCCAATCTCAGCCTATCATTACCCTTTTACGATTATTGCTACTTTTTCGAAATAAAATAAATTTATTATCAAAAACCTTTTTTTCTTAGTAAAAATAAAAATGTTATTTTATATCAAGTTTTTATTCATAAATTTTTATAATGTTGTATAAATTTCATTAAAATTTACGTACATATTAAGGTACTTATCTTCTACATATATAATCGTCATTAGATATATACATGATAAATAAAATTCATAAAACATTAAAAATCAAAAAATTAGATGAACCTTGGCAATTAAACTTTATTAAATAATAGTTGTTTATAAATTATATTATATTATTATTTAATATTATTTTGATAATGAAGATTTTATTTTGCAATAATATAAACGAAATTTTTTACCTTATGAACTTTTGATGGAAATATGCAAATTTAAAATAATAAAGAAAGCCGCGAGCGAAGCGATCGGCTTAGTTCGAAGATTTTGATTCAAATCTTTGCTGATCTGTAATTCGCGGAAGCCGCGAGCGAATCGAGCGGCTTAGGTCTAAGATTTTGATTCAAATCTTTGCTTATATTCCTTAAATTCTTTATGAAACTCGCAACAGTTCCATAAAAAATTTTAAATTCTAAACTGTCGAAATTACCGATCGGTAATCACACCCTTCACGGGTGTGTCACTTTTAGCTAAAATTACCCCTACTCTACCAATAATAAGACTTGACGACTATAACTTAGCAGCTGACGACAGTGAGGAATAAAGGATGAACGTTTATTTTTAAAGCTTATAAATGTGGAACACTGCAAAGAACTTATGGCGAAACAAATGGGTCAGAAGATTAGCCATGTATTATAGTATTAACTTATATCCGTTGTATCCGTTTTATTTTGGATATAAGTTATATAAAAAGTATTGGCATCCAACATCTCAAACGAATGTGAAAGAAGATGTGAAAGAGGATTTGAAAGAAGACCCAAAACCAACGTCAAAACCAACACCTTCACAAACAACACCTTCAATGACTCCTGAACCTATGGAAGTACAAACTCCTGTTCAAAAGTCAACTCCTAAACCGACACGAACATTCATACCTGAACCCACACCTCAAATAAATCGAAAAACTCCTGCGTTTCCTTACTGAAAAAATAACGTTATTTTTATTTAATATTAAAATTTTTATTTGATTGAAATGACAAATAAAGTCACTGAAGCAATGAAACAAAAGTTTTTGGTAGAATACATTAAATCAGGAACTGTTCCAGAAGGTTTTTACATTCATACTATGAAAGATGGTAGAGTTCAGTTTAGAAAGATAAAGCAACCATTAGATAGAGAAGGTATATTAAGGAAGATTAAACTTCATGAAGACAACTTTGCTGAACTTAAGAAGAAGTTAGAAGAGTTGGATAAAGTCAATGATGAAAAATGAAGAAACCAAGAAAGAGAGTTATAAAGCAATGAATTCAACAGGATAGAAATGAGGTTAGATATTGGGTTCGATATACCCTTCTACCCTAAATTTATTTTTGTGCTATGTTTTCATACGTGTGAAGGTGATGATATCATTTATTTTTAAAGTTTATTTTTTTAAAATTATTTTTATTTTATTTTTATATAAATGACAGAACAAAAGCAACTCATACAAATCAAAACATATAACAAACATACATTTAAACATTTATTCTTCCTTCCTGAGTATAACATGTTCTTTACACTTCATCCGAGACCAGTAGATTATACATTGACTGTGTATAAAGATTGTCATGGTAGTTTTATAAAAACTTATGATGATGAAGGTAAGTTAACAAGGCTATGCATTTCAAAACTTGAGAAACTTTATGACTTCAAGTATGACTACAATAGAGTTAACACTGATGATGAAGATATTGAAGAAAATTTATGAGAACGTTAGTGTGAACGTTTATTTTTTCATTAGTGAGTTCGTTAGTGAAGTGAAGTGGTTGGCGGCTTTGTAAATATTTAAGGTTAAGTTAGTTTTTGCGTTCGTCTTGTAAAATATACGTTAGTGGTTTTGTAAAGTGTCAAATTCACAAGTATTGGGTAAGGTGGAACGCAGTGCCACCATACCCAAGACTGGTTTACTAACTATTTTAATTGATTTTATAACAACATTGAATTGCAGGCTTTGCATCAGGAGGACTCCACGCGAATCAAGTAATTTTAGAGGTATTACGGCACTAATCATAGTAAACAAAAATAAAATAACTTTAACTCAAAAATCAATATGTTGTTTTGAAGGGATTTATCCAAGAAATAAAATTTTACACATTAGAATTTACATGTTTAATTACATATTTGAGCAGGACCAATCATCTATTGATCCTGATATAGAGAATCATCATCATTATTATCAGGAAGAGGAGGAAATTTTCGAAGAAGAAGAGGAGAATAAAGTTATAGAAAATTAAGGAGTTTGTGATAGCTTTTGATGATAGAATCAAAATCATCATAGTTAGGATGTATTATAATGTTATTACGATGTGAAGTGAAAATTTCCCGTTAACGTTCCGTTTTTGGAACATAAATATTGGAATTGAGCCTGGCGTCAACGATGAAATATCAGCATATACTAATAGGTTTATGCCTCTATGTGTTTTTTAGAATCCTTAATCTCATATTATACAAAATTTCTTAAATATTACATGTTTTGAATAAACTTGTCTTATAACTACATATTTCATAACTAGAAAGTCTCAAATGCAAGGATGTGAAGTGTTTATTATTTGAGATTCCGAAAAACGATCGTCAATAGAGGTTGATCACATTGGATTATGGGGCTATTTGTTTGATAGTCCCACAATCCAATGTGAAACATCAAATTGTTTGAATATTGGGCAAGAGATTCTGATGTGAATTACTCAGAGTACTGTCTTTTCCCATTCTGCGCATATATCTGCAAGGTCTATCACTGGCATCCTGCACTTATATGTGCATGATGGGAAAAACGTGCGCTTTTTCTATAGAATGTCACATTGAGATTTTAATTTAAGAAAGGAGTTTACAAATGCAGGGTATTGTTCCTTTACCCTGCATTTGTATACTCCTTTCTTGTAAAACCCTGCTGCAAAAAAATTATAAATATCACATTCTTATTCAAACTCTCAAATTCTATTAATTTCTATCTTTCATTCATAAAAATGCATACTCTTTCTATCTAATATTTCTCTATTTGTTAATTTTCCTATCAAATTTGTTGTTTTTTATTTTATTTTTAATTCGTACATTCAATTTTTATGATGTACAACTTGCCGACAAAAAATGTTTAATTCTAAAAAATATCCGGCGAAATAAAGCTATTTAATTTTTCACTGGTAACCGTCTTTAAATTCTCAATGTCAACATTGAAACTCATGGTCTAGCAGTCAATTCTAGAAATATTTATAATAGTTATCTTAAACTCTACGAACTTCTTCTTAAAGAAATAGATCCGAACGAAGATCCATATCCTCTAAATGAAATTAAAATCAGTGGTTTCCTTCGTTACTATCTTAATAAGCATGGCAGGGTTCCATATAATATACAATCTAGTTATTTATTGCATCTTTTAGATACAAACTTAGGATTGATGGAGATGTTTCAATCACACATTGAGGACCTTTCAAGAACTTTATTAAAGGGCTCCGCTATGATTATCATGCAAAAAAGACTCCTTGTGCTAATGAAGGAGTTACTCCTCAAATGATGCGCCAGTTTGCAGCATATTCCAATGCTCATCCAGAAAATTTATCAATCATGACTTTAATTTCATTATTATATCATGGTTTCCTTAGGATTTCCGAAGCATTAGCTCTCACAGGAAAAGATATTCAGGTCATTCCGACAAGAATTGAAATTACTATTAACCTTTCAAAAACTAACCAGTACGGAGAACATGAAGTTGTTTACGTCTGTAATGGTGATCAAACTTATCACCCCAGAATCTGGTTGGCAAAGTTCAAGGAAAAAAACAATATTTTAGGAACAGACAACAAACTTTTTCTCTGGTCACAAAGTAATGCAAGGATTATTCTTGCTCAATTTTTTGATAAAAATAAAATTGATCCGACAAAATACTCTACTCACTCCTTCCGCAAGGGCGCCGCGAATGCGGCGGCCCTTGCCAAAATCTCGGATTCAAAAATAAAAACAATGGGAAGATAGAAATCAAGTGCTTACTTAATTTACACAAGTATTCAAATACAAGAGGCAGCTGAAGAGATTTCTTCCGAAATTCAACATTAAAAAAATTTTTTTTATTCAAATGTAATAAATTTTTTTATCAATTTTTCAGAACAAAACTCATAGAATTGTAATGAATTTTTTTCACGAATTGTTGGCGGAGTCACAAAAATTGAATATGTATTAATTTTTTTGAAAATATTATTCAATTTTGTCATAATTTAATATATTATCATTATATAATAATATTATTCATTTTTATTTTTTATTTCTAACTTCAAATTGTTTCATTTTTTGTGAATTTCGAGTCAAATTTTTTAGGGAAGTCAAAATCATAAACTCGAGCTATTTGATTTACTTTCACTAAAATTTCCTAATTGATGCATTGCAATTAACGTAGGTATCATTGCAATGCAATCTCATAAATTTATCTTTTTAGATTGACCCTAAAACTAAAAAATCATCATTGTTGTCTGAAGAAAATCATAAATATATTACACGAAATTGAGACAAGGTCTCAATTTCGTGTAATATATTTTGTATTCTATTCTACCTTCAATTATAAGTTCAAAAATATAAATTACAGGAATTGAAGAGGGTCAAGTCACTTTTTGAAATAAAAAGAAAGAAAAATGAGGTAATTTTTTGTTTATCCTAAAATTATTAGTATAAAATTTTGACAATGACGGTTATATAAAAATTTTCAAAAGTTTATTTTTAAGGGGGTAACTTTGAATAGTTGTAAACTTTTTCGTAATTTGGACTTTATTCATCCTCAGATTGAGCGATTTGAAATTAAATGATAAATATATATTGTGCAATATATACCATACCTATAATTAGTAAATGATATCCCTGGGTTAGCTACAAACACTTAGGAGACTTACCGAAAAAAAATATAAAATTGAAGAATGACTCAATGAGTAGTATATTCGAGGCTATAAAAACATGCAAACAATACTATAAATAAGTTTCCTGAGATACGTATAAGAGCGCTTTTTGGAAATTTTATACTAACTGTTTAACTTATCTTATTAAATTAAGCTCATTTCCAAAATTTTATTATTATTCTAGCAATTGAGTATGCATTCAATTTTGGGTTCAAAGTAACTTTCATCTCATGAGGTTCTTCATTCTCTAAACTCAGTACTCATCAAAATATTTTTTCTGAAAAATATTTAAAGATGCTGCGATGAATTTGAAATATCATCTTATACCACTCATAATTAACAAACTATATGTTTAACCCAAGAGTCGTATAAGAGCACTTTTTTGAATTAAACTTTTCTTCCCAAGTTACAATTAAATTTTTATCCCCTTATTTTAAAAAATTTTTAGAAGAATTCAAAAAAATTATGTTGTAAATTTTAAAGAAAAGAATATAAATAAAACTTTCTATCTTGTTATTATTATATTTCAAATATGAACCGAGCAAAATTCAAATTCTTGGAAATTTGATATTTCAAATAAATGAAATATGAGTGCGGGACAAATTTGCCAGGTGTCACTTTTCAATAACCTTAAATTACGATTTTCTATTTTTTTAAAAAAAAATAACCTTAAATTATATTTGAAGAAATTATGTCTATGATATATGTTTTATGCTAGAATCTTGGAGTTTTCATGCACTACACAAGAGCTCCAAGGTTCCAAGAGTGAATGCTCAATAGCAATTATAGAGATGTACCTTTTCAAAATGACTTTTACTGATTAACTTTAATCAATAGAAGACATTTTGAAAAGGTACCTCTACAATTAGATATACAAGAGATTCAAAGCTTCATTTCAGATAGATTTGAAACTTTGAAACTCTTGGTAGATTTTGAGTGAATGCTGACAATCATCTTTGAGAAGGTTTTCTTTAAGAAAACCTTCTCAAAGAGGTTTCTCAGCAGCCCTGAGGCTCCCTTTCGTAATGATTGGGAGCCTTGGGGCTCCTGAGACGAAGAATGGCTTCGCCGAATCTTTGATCAGCAGAGGCCAAATGAAAAGGCCTCTGCTGATGGATTCTCAGGAGCCCTGAGGCTCCCTTTCGTAATGATTGGGAGCCTTGGGGCTCCTGCAGCAGAGTATCGCTCCGCTCCATTAATTTTTTTTAAAAAAAAGTGCCGTGTGGCAAATTTGTCCTGTTCCCAATGAAATATATCCACCAAATGACTAAAAATTCATTGCAAATGTATCAAAGATTGATGCGTGACAGTGTTGTTTATTCGGATTTAAATTTTAGAAATCTCATAAATTTGAAATTTAAGTATATAACTAGAATTGGTGATATATTATAGTTGTGCATTATGTTAGGGTAATATTACTCCATGCACACTATGTGTAAATCTAATCACATGATGTTTTATTAGCCCAATTATGTTAAAAATGTAAACTTCAGAAAGTTACTCCCTTAATGCCCTTATAAAAAGTACTGACCCCGCGCCACCAAATCCTTTCCAAAAGGCCATGTTTCACTCTTATTGCAAACACTCTTCCTACTCCTTTAAGCGGAATGGTTATTTCGCATTTTTCTCCCAAATTTATATCTAAATTCACAATGCAATCTTAATCTAAATGCTTGAAGTTCATCTACTTCTCATCCTTATTGTTTGTTCAAACTTAACTTACTGATTAATAAAGAATTACGTCATTTTTATTTCTTTTTTTAAAAAAAGTGACAGGTCCTCTCAATTCCATGTAATATTTTTTTTTTCTCCATTCATGGGTTATATATATACGGTCTAGGTGAAGACATTGCGGATCTTCGATCCGCAATGTCTGAACCCCCCAAATTTATATTAAAAAGTATGTTATTTTGGATTCTTTCGCTTTGGGAGGGCGCTTCGCGCCCTCCCAAAGCGATAAGTGGTCGAAAATGCTTATCAAATAAAATCTGATATCAGAAAAAATGACTTTGGATATGATAAATATCATTCCAATAATTGATACATATTATAATGCACATTATTTTGAAATTTTATTTTTTCAAAATTTTCTAAATTTAATTTTGATTTATATCTAAATTTTATATGATTTTAGGAATGCATCTCTCAATTTTTTATTTTAGGAATATATCTCTCAATTTTTATTAAATCGGTTTTTTCTTCTCAAATATTTTAAAATTGAGAAAAGAAAACATTTTAGGTGAAGTGCTCTGAAGTTCTGAGCCAGACTTTAAATATATGGATGCGATTAAGTACACCAATTCACAAGCGTTTGTCATGCGTATCTGTCGCTCTTATTTTGCAATTGATCTTTGCGTTGGATATTTAATTTTAAATACTTTCGAAATTGTAAGGTTGGGTGCCACCACATCAATGCAATAACCGAATATGATGAAACCCTCGAATGTCGTATCATATTATTGAAAATTAAAAAATAAAACTTACTAATCCAGCCTAAAAATCATAGTAAATGAAAGATTTGTCCATAAGCATGCAATTGAATTACCTTGTGATAACAAATTAATGATTATACAATTTTATATGTTTTTTTTTATATATGTAGATACTAAATTAAGTCTTCTGAAGAAAACTAACCTAATTCTTTATTTATTATTAAAACTCTACTACATTATGAAAGAGATATATCATAAACTTTGATAGATTATTGCAAATATGTAATAATAATTCCTGAAATTCCTAGTATAATGTTCACGCAATGCAATTTTAAAAAGGGTATCAATATTATATCTGGCTTTCCTTTGACATTTATGTTGGAGTTTTTTGTTTCAATAATGATATAAAATAGTAAACTATTCAAAAATAGTCATTTTTAATGAGCATTGGATGACTCACGTCATTAATCACATAGAAATAGAAAGTTCAAAGATCAGAGTACAATCACTTATAAGCCAACTCTTCAACAGCAAACAAACAGAAGAATTTTTGGTTATAATTACACCAAATTATTATTCGAAAAAGATAGATCGAATGATTCTCCATCAAGATAATATTTGTGACATCATTGATCGCGAGGTTACTCATCGATTGCATTATATCTACACAACTTTTTTACATGATATTGACAAATCTTTTTTACAAATTTTTTTATTATTACAGTTGGTTTACAAGCACTTCTAGAAAGTGAAAGACTGGAATTCAACCACCGTTTGGTGATTTTATCTGAGAGTGAAAAAATTGAAATAATTAATACTCATCTCGGTAATCTGAATCCAAACACTCAAAGATTATTCAATTACACACCTCATCCAGCGTATAATTTTCATTATCACAGAAACTTTCAATTTATTTTAGATAAATCATCAACAAAATTTGATTTACCTTTCCCGGATGCTTATTATTGTACTGTGCCAGACGATTATCCGAGCTTTATTAGTTTTGATTTTGAACCGTTTTTACGTTCAATTTGTCCAGGGGCATACTTTGTCGATGAAATTGGATCTTCAAACAGCGATCGCTGTCCAAACTGCGGCGCTGCTTTATTTAAGACATCTAAAAAAGAGACATGTTGTAAAAACTATAAAGATATTCGACAGCATCTCATTACGAATCCTGTTAATCGTCAAATTTTGGAAATATTAGAAGAACAAGGTTTTCAAAATCCAAACTTTTGCAGAATAGCCAATTATTTTGCCAGGCCAGTTACACAACATGGATATATTAATTCTTTGAGGGGTGCTGGCTCTATGATACAAGTTAATGGTACTCCTTATGCAATTGACTCGAATATGCAATTTTTAGCTCCAGCATATTTAATTTTTAATGGAATGGATATGAGTAAATATGGTTTGTCAAAGTTATCAAAATATACTAGAATTGAATGTGATGCTTTAGTAAAGATCTTAATCCATGAAACAAATCCAATGCTAAAAGAATATATTTTAAATAATATGACGAAAATAGGTGGAGAAGACACATATGCAGTATATATGAATGCATTAGACAAAAGCACAAATATTGCAATTGTTGGAGAAAGAAACAGAGCATTAATTCCAAAATATCCGAGAGAAGAAGTATTGAAACTCAAAAGATCAGATAATGATTCTAATGTGCAAAAAGATTCTAGGTTGGAAACTTTTAAAGAATCAAATCATCTCATACGTGAATACAAAACAACACCGATTGATCCAAGTTCTGCTGAATATGATCAAAAGTGTTACCCTGTGATTTTCTGGGATGGTAAAGGTGGTGTTGGGAGGCTCCCTGGTGAGGGACAATGTGGAATAAAAGAAATTAGGAGAGTATTTTTAGCTATATTATTACAACCACCTAATAATTTTATACACAAGATTCCACTACTACGCGAAGAATTCATTTGTTCTGTATTTGGAAGAGTCATACAAATTTTAATTGATAGAGAATATAAATATCAATGCTGGCTATTCATTGAAAAAGAACTCAGAAAAAATAAAGATCTAGCTTCGGCAATAAAAGAATTGAAAAATGGAATTTCAATGTATGTACCAAGTTATTTCGTTGGATCATCCTCGTATTGGCATAAAGTTGGAGAAAAAGCATTTATATTAGCATCTGTTTATGGTCCACCAACTTTCTTTTTAACAATTACGTGTAACCCTTATTGGGCGGAAAATATAGCCTGGAACTCTGCAACATCTCAAAATCAAAAGCAGAAAAAAACATTGATGGATAATTCTGCCTCAATTAGCAGAATTTATCACATTAAGAAGAAAAAATTGTTGTCATGGTTAAAAGAGACAAAACTATTAGGCGAAATCTCTGCGTATTTTGGACGAGACGAATACCAGCAGCGAGGACTGCCCCATACTCATTTTTTACTTTGGACGGATTTTGATGTAACTAATATTCATAAATTAAATCAGATAATAAGCGCATCATTTCCTGATAATGATGTTGTTTTTTCTAATATTGATAAAATGTCTGATTTATATGCACTTACACTCAAAATTCAAGTCCATGTCTGCAATAAGAATTATTGTTTGGATTCAAATGGGCATTGCAGATTTCAGTTTCCATATGCTCCTTCAAATGAAACAGTATTCAGAAATAAGAAATTTTATTGGATGAGATCACCAAATTCACAATGGGTTGTACCTCACTGTCCTCAAATTCTAATGAGATTCCGAGCTCATTCTGAAATTGAAGCTATTCCCAGTGATCAAGCAATTGGCTACATGGTAAAATATGTTGCTAAAAATGCAGAATCACATGAGATTTCAATGCAAGATTACCACAAATATAAAGGTAACAATTACTTATTAAATAATAAACTATATTCATATGGAGCAAATTTAACTGTACCTGCTTCATTTTGCTTTTCTTATCTTGCAGGATATAAGCAACAAATCATATCTCCCACAGTTATTATATTATCAATTCACCTCCCTGATGAAAGATGGATTAGTACTAAACCTAATACAACTGAAGAAGAAGCTGCAAAAAAGATGGAAGCTTCATTAAGCACACCGCAAATATATTTTAATAGGCCACACACGGAAGAGTGTGATTCTCTCACAATATGTGAATTTAATTCTCTTTATTATAAAGTTACAAGAAACGAAAAAGATGATTCCGCTGATGAAAATAATCAACTTGATTTTAAGAAAAGAGAAAAAGAAGCTGTATGTTCTCTTAAAACAGTTCCTTTTGCCAATCTCGAATTATTTTGTTTACGCTTAATTTTCATGTATTTTGCAGCAAGAAGTTTTGATGATTTTCTATCATTTGAAGGAGAAAAATTTTCATGCTATGCAGAAGTAGCTAAAAAGATTGGTTTAATTAGAGATAATGATAGATATGAAATTTCAATGCAAGAGGCTGTAAATCAAAGAAGATCTCCAGCTGAATTAAGATTTATGTTTGCTTTATTATGCAAAAATGGAGGACCTTTTAATGATTTACTAAATAAATTTAAAGAGCAATTAAAGGATAATGGCCAATCAGATGAATCTTTGATGAAATATCTTGGACAAATGTTCATAAATGTCCACGCTGATATACCAAAAGAATTAAATAATTACCCAGATTTTCCTTACTTTTACCACTCCCCATGTAATTTCTGGGGAAAACGATAATTCATTTTTTTATGGATGAATAGATCGTTTTCCTAGAAAGGACCTCATATCTCTGGCTAAAAAGAGTGTCAGATCCTAAATAGGTTATTGATCTAGTGTACAAATCCAATAAAAAGCCTATTTTTTTGGCTTTTTTGGTGCTCATTTTTTCGAAGATCTACATGAATATGGGGAAACCATCGGATTTTTTTGGTTAACCCACATCTTCATGTAGTCTGGACTATCTTTCCTCGAAGGACCTCTTTACGGGTGTAAAAACTCATAAAGTTCTCAAAAGATTCATTCTCGATCTCCATGCTGAAAGAATTTACAATAAAAAAGAGATCTACGCATCAAACTACAGCCATAAATGAACTGAACCCCTAAAGCTCAGCTCTTAGTTTATCAAAAACGTCGAAATCCTTCTCATTGCAATCAAATTTTCTCAATAACTCATAAGAAAAATCGAATTTTGATTAAGCCGATGTTATAGGTATCACAAATACTACAAACTTGAGCAATATCGAAATTGCCAGCAAAAGTTTGAAATTGCATTGCTCATATTTGTTTTGTAAACTAAAAATCTGCTTATATTATTCATTAATTTTTTATATATTATTCATATACTTTAATAAAAACAATACTATTTCACCTTAAAAATGAATTTCATAAGTCAATATTATTTTTTTGAAAATGTATCAATTTTCGATTAAAACAACATGAGAATAAAATTTACGCAAAATTATTTTAAAAAATGGTTTTAAAAATTTACAATTGATTAAGATTAAGATTGCAAGAAGTTTTGAAGTTTAATTTTAAGAAAAAAAATTCGGATATTATTCATGGATCTAAGTAATCTGATATTTGAGTATCGGCACTATGCATAAAACATATATTTATAGTTTTTTTGGATTTTTATGATTTTAAATATATTCAAATTTGGCAATCCAATAGATTTTTAAAAAATAGGTAAATAAAAATAGATTACATATGCAGCAGATTTAGAACATGAAACAAATCTTATAGTGACCCAAAAAAAAATTCATGATCCAAAAAAGAAAAAAATTGGCTAGATGGGAATCAAACCTTGGCATAATGAATCATTATGTCGGATGTTTTCACTACACTACACCGGCAGTTCGAAAAATACCCTTGGTGGTTCTATTTAATAGCTACTCCCAACGATAGGCGGTGTCCCCAGCCTTAGAGAGGTGGTAAAAGTAAGGCAAATCTGGGTATTTACCACTAGATGCAGAAGATACACAAGTTATAAATGATATGCAACAACTATCTCAGGAACAATTAGAAGTCAAAGAAAAAATAATTGCATTTATTAATAATGATGATGAGAATAGCTCGAATGTTATGTTTTTCCAGGGTCGTGCTGGTACTGAAAAGACATATTTATTAAACCAAATAATTTCAGATTTAAGAAAAGATGGTAAAAAAGTTTTAGTAACAGGAACAACTGGGATAGCAGCCTCCAAGTATCCACAAGGTTCCACCGTTCACTCTTTATTTAAACTAAAAATAAAGTCAGATGATTTAAAAGAAGAAAGCGGATTTTACTCAAACGTTGGATTAAACTCATTTTTAGCTCATATACTATACACAGCCGATTTATTCATAATAGATGAGGCATCAATGCTAATAGAGAATGTTGCTAATGATGTGGACACATGCCTTAAATATATTGTTGCCGGGAAAAAAGGCACAATGGATCAGATGGCCACAATGAAGCCTTTTGGAGGGAAGAAAGTACTACTAATGGGAGATCTTTTACAATTGCCTCCAGTTGTGCCAGATTATGGAGAAAGTGTGCTCCAAAGATTAATAACTTCATGTTATTGGTGGAAAGATTGTTCTTTTGTATCCTTGAAAAAGCAAATGCGAACAAAAAATGAAAAATGGTCTAGCTTTTTATCAGAAGTTGCAGAAGGAAATATTCAAAACAAAAAGTGGACTTCTCTAATAGAAGAATTTGGAATAACTGTTACCCATGATAGAGAAGAAGCAATCCAATTTTATTTAAAAGATGTAGATCTAACTGGGAAATTTCCGATGGATCAACAATGGGTTTCTTCTACAAATAAATTAACCAAAGAAATGAATGAAATCTTTGCCAAAATGCATAAAGATAGTTTACAAGAAAACTAAAAATTTGGTCTCATGTGTGGCTCACATCATATATCACAAACAGTGCCCCAAGAGTCACCACATTACCAACCAACTAGAGAACAATTATTTGACTTTGCAAGGAATTATCGTTCCCCGACCGTGCCGGAATCAGTTATAGATATTTATTATGGACAGCCGATGTCCATTATGCAAAATCTCAATACTAGAGAGGGGATAGTTAAAAACAAACGCTGTTGGGTAAAAGAAAAAATCGGAAGTAATATTGTAGTTGAATTCGAAGACGGGAAAGAATGGACATTGCCTAAAACTCTTTTTAACATCAAATCGAATCAAATGGTTTTTGATCGTTTGCAGATTCCTTTGAAACCATTATACGCAGGAACGATCCACAAGTCACAAGGTATGACTTTGAAAAGGGTTGTAATTGACCTGCGATCTCCACACTGGGAGCATGGACAACTTTATGTGGCCTTATCCAGGGTGCGAGATCCTAGAAGAAGATGAGGATGGAAATAAAATCGAAGAATATGAATTTATACAACCGATTGCAGATCAATCGGTTGTAAAAATTGTAAAAATGATTGAGGACAATCAAAAATGCGATATTGAATTCACATTAAATGATGAATTTAGAGGTAGGGAATTTGAAAATGTTGAAAACGAACTTGAAAAGATATTAAATGATTCTGATCCTGAAGAAACATCTTCTCTTATTTTAAACGATGAGTCTCAACAAGAAGATGTTTCCAATAATCAGGAAATACTGGAAGAATTAAAGGATAAATTTAATTCAAACCAAGACTACCATGAAGAATTTGCAAGTATGTCAAATGAAGAAGAATTTGCAAGCATGTTAAATGAAGAAAGTCTTTTGAATCTTCATTCAAATGATGAAGCCAGCAATAATTCCACTCAATTATTTAATGAATCTAAAACTAAAAACGAAACAATTTATAAAGAAGATATTAGACCAAAATTTATTAATAATTTGTCGATTTGCTATGCAAATTCTTTAATTCAAGTTCTTTGTCATATTCCTATTTTCCGATCCTATATCAATTCCTATGATGATAGTGAAATATCTCAATTCTTGAAAAATATTTTTAAAGAGATAGATAACTTGAATCCTATCAATCTGGAAAAATTAACTTCTTTATTAGGATTTGAATCTCAAAATGATCCTCATGAAATGTTACAGAGGCTTCTTCAAAACTTAAATGAAAATATTCAAAATATTTTTATTAATACTTTTATTGGTTTAGATGGGAAAAAAGATCATTCATTTTATATCTTTGTTACAGCATTTACAGAAAATTCAAGCCCAATTCCGTTCTTGGAACAAGTAATCGAATTTTTGTCTGTTACTGGTGGTGATTATGACACTGGTGATATACTTCCAGTTTATATCAATAGGTAAAAATAATAATATTTCAGATGGGAAAATTGAGATACCACAAAACTTCAAACTTAAATCAAAGTATACTCTTTTTGGAATTATTATTCATTTAGGAAACCATGCTAATCGTGGGCACTATGTGTCTGTTGTAAGAGATTCTCTAGGTTTAGGCGATTGGGTTGCTTATAATGATGAAGCAAATCATAAAGTAAGTGCTGAAATTGTTCAAGCTTTTTTAAATGACAAACAAAATCCTGAAGATGTTAGAATATTACTCAATCAAAAATATCGAACGGATGTCTCCTTAAGAGTTGCAATGGTTTTCTATTGTGATGATAATTATAAAGTATCGGCAAATATTGCACATAGATTTCGCAAAAACTTCCATGAAAACAATCAAGACCAGATTACTTCTCAAAAGAAAAGAAAGAATGAAATCGTTGAAACTGTTTTATCGGTATTAATGTCTAAAAATGAAAATGAAAGGAGTTATTATTTAGAATGCTTGGCTGCACTCGAACCTGATCTAGATGATGATTCAACAATTGAGAAATTAAAGAAAATAAAGAGACGTCTTTTTAATAAACCTCTTGATGAATCAGATATACAAAGATTCGAAGAAATAAAGGAAACAGGAGCTGATGAAATTCAAAATTGTCCTGAGTTACAAAATTATATAGATTTTATTTCTCTGGTTTTATTGGCAAAAAAGAAAGAACAGGGTCATACACATGAGGAAAATTATCGAAAGAGCTACCTCAATATTGTTTCCGAAGAAGATGATGATGAATTTCTTAATGAGTTGCTTAATTTTAAGTTATAAAGATTTTATTGTATTTATGTACTTTATAAATGTTTGAATTTTAAAGATATTTCTTTTGAAAAAAAAACAAAGCTGTACAATAATTCGAGTTTAAATTCCAAATGGAGTTGTTAACAGTTATATTTGTCTGAGTTTAACAAAAATATTTATCGCAATTCCACATCAACAAAATAACTTATTTTGAAATGTATGTTTTCTATTAGATGTATATGATGGATTTAACAAAGATAAAATAAAGGAAGGGATACATGATAAAATCCTTTTTCTATCAGTGAGAAAGCAATTTAAAAATGCATTTTATATAGACTCAAAAAGCTGGATCATGAACAGAATCATCTTACCTTTTGGTCTTTTTTATAGAATAACTCGACTTAGAATTCAGAGATAAACTATCCTTTATCCGCGTTTGTTTCCTAACATATTACAAGTCTATGATGAGTCACTGGCATAGAAGATTTCTTGATTAATGCACTCATTCTCTTTTGGTAAATTGTTGTGGCTTTTGTCTAGACATGTAAAGAGCATGGCTAAGGAGTAGAACTAATATCGCCAGAAGCACAATAATTAAGCATCTTAGCTATGCCATCTTAGCAGCTATCGTGCTTCTGGCATGCAGAAGTGTAATGGCATACAGATTGGAGATTTCCTTCCGAAATCACTTGCTGATGTGGATGGATCAGTAGTATTATTGGCAAGAAGAAAGGCTTCGTAACATTCCAGCAAGTCAATATCTGGCGGGGAAAGTTTAAGCAAAAAAAAAAAATAAAATAAAAAAAATAAAAATATAGGATCGCTATATGACATACCACCAATATTTTTAATTTAAGAGAAATCTGATCGACAGAAATTGAGATACTGGTATTTTGAAAAAAAAATCAGTGCAAGTTTTTTTAAAAAAAAAAATATATATATATGTATGTATATGGTATATGGAACTATTTTATCTATTTTTTTTTATTTTAGGAATATATCTCTCAATTTTTATTAAATCGGTTTTTTCTTCTCAAATATTTTAAAATTGAGAAAAGAAAACATTTTTAGGTGAAGTGCTCTGAAGTTCTGAGCCAGACTTTAAATATATGGATGCGATTAAGTACACCAATTCACAAGCGTTTGTCATGCGTATCTGTCGCTCTTATTTTGCAATTGATCTTTGCGTTGGATATTTAATTTTAAATACTTTCGAAATTGTAAGGTTGGGTGCCACCACATCAATGCAATAACAGAATATGATGAAACCCTCGAATGTCGTATCATATTATTGAAAATTAAAAAATAAAACTTACTAATCCAGCCTAAAAATCATAGTAAATGGTAAGTTCCGGTTCCATACATCAATACAATCACAAACCCAATCTATCAAACACTCACATACATTATTAGTTTTAATTATTAAAAAAATCGATATTAAAGATTAATATCTCAATCAACTATTTTTGACCCTTTTATGATTATTTTGCGAATTACTGAAGTGCTTTTATTTGTTTGATATTACCCTATATTTCCAACTCTTGGAAAATTTTCATGACCCCCTACCCAGGGTCCTAAAATGGGTATTTTCCTCACACAGACACCGTGGTTTTTTGAGCCGGGAAATAAATAGCGCAGACAGTTTCTACATATAGAGACATGCTTATACTTAGAGTTTGACGGGAATCTAAAGTGATTTTTTTCTGCATCGCGAAATCTAATGCAATCTCAAAATCATGAAGAAACTGCGAATCGGAGCGCAATTTTTTAATATGTTAATATATAAAGGTACCCCTACTACTGCAAATGCTTCAAATGAAAATCTAAGAAATCAGATTAATTTGATCACATTAGTATAGTATTGGTCAAACCAAAAACTCATATGTTGATATATAGCCTATAGATATTCATATTATCTACTTTTCATTGAATTACATAAGATTTAATAATCTCATAAATATTCTTTTTAATTTTCCGAATTCCGTGTGCATTTAGATTGCCTATACCTGTATATAATAATTCTAGAATGGTTTGGTTAGATATTAAGTTTTTTAGATTAATATTTTAACATTTTGATCAAACAAGCATTTGTTCCATTTTAGAATCGCCATTGAACTCTAGTTTGACTAACATGATGTTGTATGATCAAATAAATTCTAACTTCATGAGATAAATTTTGAAATTAGAAAATGCGATATCTGACACAAATATTTATCTGAACACATTTAACATTCAATGATAAACTAAAGTACTATACAGCAGATTCGATTTGGCTTATATTTTATATAATCAACAAATAATCCTATAAAATTGTGCTATTCACGTTGCTCAAAGATGTATTGAACATTCCCTACTTGTGTATTGATAAAATTAGATATAGATTCTAATGTAAATCGATATTTTGAAAATTCATATATATTTTGTCTTGGTTTGGCATTTGATCGTGTTGAAACCGGAATTGCAATATATATCATCTAAATATATAACTATCAAAATATGAGCTATAGATTTTTAAATTATTCTCCTGAATATGAGTGACTAACATAATTATATTGAATTGAGTAGTAAGAATCATAAATATTAGAATCTGACGATAATTTATTATAACTTTATATAGGAACAAGATTATAAATGATGATGAAAATAAAGATTAAATTTAAATCTGAAAATTTGAAAACATTAAGTGTATATGATAGCATTACAAAATTCAATTTTATGTGGAAGAGGAAATAGAGGAATTAGAAGTATTATGAGAAAATAATAAGATATAAAAACAAGATTCTATTAAATGAGTTAATTTATAGAAAGGAATAACAGTGTGAATGTAGTAAATGAATGTTTTCATGATGTATTATTGAAATCTTAAGTTTTGTTAAGAAGATAATAAGGGAATCAAATTTTGTATTAGGAAGTTTGACCGACAAGAGTGTATTGTGCACTCTTGTCGGTCTGCATGTCTCATTCCGGGAGACATTGTCACTGCATGTCTCCCAGAATGAGACAATCTTCCGCATTCATAACTTGAATGCGGAAGTTTGACCGACAAGAGTGTATTGTGCACTCTTGTCGATCTAAATGTATCTTACAATCAAAGACACTTTCATACAATCTTTTCGAAGTTAAAAAAAATTTAATTATTTCTTTCTTATTTAGTTATGAACCTGAAGAGAAATTTTAAGGAAAATATTAAGTTGTGCAATTTGCATTTATCTCTTTAAAAAAAAAAAAAAAAAAAAAAAAAAAAAAAAAAAAAAAGGTAGTGGGGCTTCCAGGCACTTCGTGCCTTCTAGCCCTGAAGATGTTTAGTATAAATGAAGTTCTTATATTCGGAGGGCTTCCAGGAGCTTTTCACAAATTATATATGTTTTCATGTTTGTCACTTTTCTGTCACTTTTCAGGTAAAAACATTTTTATTATATATATAAAATGAATTTTACAAAACCACCGTTACCGTTCTTTGGAAATAAGAGTAGATGTAAAGATATTATATTGAGAGAACTTAAGAAACTACCGAATGGTCTAACATTTGTAGATTTGTTCGGTGGAAGTTTCTATATATCCCATTTATGTCATACCGTATTTCCTGACTCAAAGATTATATGCAATGACTTCGACAACTATATGAACCGTCTCAAACATATTCCAGACACAAACAATATATTGAAAGAGTTAAAAGAAAAGATACCTATAGGTAAGATGGAACGTATACCATTAGATAAGAAAAATATTGTGAGAGAGATTTTGAAAAAAGCAGAGTATATTGACTGGGATAGTATATCTGCTAGACTATTATATAGTGGTGCTATAAGAGTTCATGACATTGAAACACTTATGTCAAAAGTTTTATATCTTAACTATACAAATGTTTTCAAAGAGGACATAGAAAAATATATTGAGGGTATAGAGTTTGTGAGATGTCATTGGACAGATTTGTATGAAAAATATAAAGACAAGGAAAATGTTTTCTTTATAGTGGACCCGCCGTTCTATAACACATGGGATTTTCAATACCAAGTAGACTGGACTTTGAGAGACTCTTTAGAAACTTTAGACGTTTTACATAACCATCCATGCTTTTACTTTACATCCGATAAAAGTGGTTTGGAAAGTGTCATGAGATGGTTAGAGGACATACATGACTATGAGTTTAGATACGATAAGATAGAATATGAGAGAGGTCCTATAAACTGGAGAAAGTGTCATAACAAAGAAATTTTACTAGTAAGTAAATGTGGTTTGAAATAGGACTACTTGTTTTAGGTTTTTTCCATTGTGTCATTTATTTATTTGACGTGGCAGAAAAGTACAGAGAATATGAAGATGAACCAATGCCTGCAAATGTTCAGTATATGTACTCGTAAGAGATATTTTTATCTAATATTAAATGGACGCACAGAACTTAGCGAATGCACAGCAACCTGGACAACCAAACCCAGAGAATATTCCAAATGAAGTTAGAATACAAACTGCAATGGCAAACTATGGTCAAGTGCCAACAGATGTACAAATGCAAACTGCCATGTCAAATGACGCTGCGTTAGGTTTGCCACCATGGTATGCAAATATGAGATGGAAAGAGTTTTATACAAACCCTGAAGTGGGATATAAACAACTTATGCAGATGACGCGAACACAGGAGTTGACCCAGAATATGTTTTCTACCAGAGGAGAAACAGAATGTATGAGCTCCAGTTAAAGAATGCTATGGAACTCAACAGGAAACGTAAGAGACTAGGCGGACATTAGATTTTTACATATAGTAAAATGGGTTTCTTCAGTAAGATAGGAAACTTCTTTCGAAATGTTGGAAGAGGTATATGGAATGGAATAAAAACCGTAGGAAGAGGAATTTGGAACGGAGTCAAAAATATTGGTAAAAGAGTAGGTCAGTTCGTTGGTATTATACCTAAAGACCCTGAACCAGAAGAACAAGCTCCTGTTATACAACAGCCTGAACCTGCACCACAGTCTAGTTGGCAACCAAATCCAACACCTCAACCGTATTAAAAATTATATTTTTACCGTTCGAT